CCATGCGGCTCTGTTGCTTGGCCAGTTGGTCGAGTGTGTGTCGAGTGTGTTTGTTGTGCAAACAACTACGAGTGCGGTTTTAATTGAACTCAAGTGAGGCTCAGCGCTGAATGGCGGCTCGATTTTTCCCTCAATGCGGGCAAGTGTGAAACCAAGTGAGATAAAAAGGTGAGAGTAGGGGCTCTCCGAGGGGCCTTTAGGCCGAGCGTACAAACTCTAATGAGCGCTCAAATATTTACCCAGAAATGGCGGCTCAAATAAAACGTAATTAGCTTTTAAGCCACCGAACACATCCCGCTCTCCCACGCGGCCCCATAAAGCACAGCAATTTGTTTGCCTTTCAGAATCCATATCTAAAACGGATTTTCCGACTGGGCGGCCGGGACAAATTATACGGCAATGGCTGCTGCGAAAAAATAACTAAAATAAATAACAATTATGGGAAACAAATCAGCTATCGAAACTGGGGTCCAGGACTCCGGGAAATTTACCGCACGGCCGGCAAAATTAGGCTAACCTAACCCTTTGTTATCGCTCTCCTGCATTTGCATTCGAATTGGAAATAGAGTAACTCCCAAACTCAACTGGGCGCTAATCGGCCAACTGTGTGCTGGTCCTGGCCATGTGCCGGCGCAGTTAGCATCCAATTAAAATGCGGCTAAAGTGCATCAATGTAAATACTGCAGATCCCGCTCCCGTGTGCGCATTCAAAATTCAAACAAAAACTATAATCGCTTTGGCAGGGATTACAACACACAGGAACATGCTACGGATCCTGCCATAGCCGGGACTGGGACTGGGACTGGGACTAGGACCTCCTCGCTGAGATTTTCCCAGCCAGGCTGGACCATTGAAAACTGAATCGATTCCCCACCGCCACTGCGGTCATGTGCAACATGCGAATTATTTTTACGTTTTATCGCAAATTCAATTCAATTGCGATAATAATAGAATTTATTTGCAACAATTCGTTTCTGTGTTTTTCTATGTGAGAACTCTGCAATTTAGTGGCTGTTGCACAGCGAATTATAATTATGTGCCTGACTGCTCCGATGGCTGTGTGTGACTGAAATTGAAAATATATAATCGCATTCACCAGCGGCCATATAGGAAGTATGTGGGTGGCATTTAAGCTCCAGGTCCCTGTATAAATTTGGTTGCCTGCAGGGGGCCCTTTTAATGGCTGACAATGGAGCTCTTGGACAAAAAATACAAATAAGAACAGTCATGCCCTTGGGGTGAGCAGCTCCTGCACCCAAAAATATCCCATTAAAGGCACGATAGATGAGTTCAACGACATGATTACCTCCTTACCGAGAAAAGCGTGCCCTGCTGTCAGAAAAATAAATTGCCAAGTACCTTAAGCAGTGTTGAGTATGCTGAATATCTAGTTTACTTTATACGCTTTCAGGGTATTATAATCAGAAGTGAAGAACTCATTTCCAGCTATATGAAGCATATATCTATTCTTGATCGAGTTCAAAGCTATCTAAATGAGATGATATTGTATGTACTCTCATTAGTTTATAAGTCGGAACTGGCTAGATCCAACGGCTCTATCATATAGCTGCAGAAGAAATGATAATTAAATGGATGTCCCTGTCCCCTCGCCCCTCGACCCAAAAATATCTCCTAATCAACGCAATATATTCAGGATAACCAGGAAGCAGCTCACGCCGATGATGCCATGAAAAGTGGGAGACAAATGAGCAATGAATTAGTTTATTTAACTTAGACTCTTGAAAAGCGCCCTTGAAATCTATCAGAAAACCAATCATATCTCTGTGCTCCAAAAGTAGTCCTTTCCTTAATAGTAACCTATTAAATAATTACTCTTTTACTATTATCTGACTGATTCCTAGTTACCATTTAAAGGATATCAGCTAGTCCACGAACTGATTTTTTCCGCCCACGTATTGTCTGTTTATCAATGTGTTTACCTTGAAGCATCTTTTGTTATATTTTATGTCACCCGCTGGCTATTTGTGCGCAAAATGCATTTGTTTCGATATGCCGCCCATATAAAAGAAATTTAATAGATATTTCCAACAGCTAGAATAGAATCGCAACAGTAAATATAGCCACGATGTGGGACTGCTGGGGATGGAGAAGCTGCAGCGCAGCGGAATGCCGCCGCTAAAACAAACATCCGAGTCATCTGCCGGAAATGGGATACAAGCTTGGTCCTTCTCTGGCTTCCATCTCTAGTTCCCTTCGAGAGGACCCACTCCGCTGGCCTCTAGCCCCTTGTGATACCAACAGATTCGCTGTGGCAATAAATCCCCCAGGAAACTGGATGGGACACAAACAGCGGCAGCAGCAACAACAGAATGAAAAAAAAAAAACTTATGAAGTGGCAAAGAGTTGCGATTGTGTAAACAAATATAAAGAAGACGTCAGTGGCGTAGTCCCTGGGAGGGGGTTCCAAGATTAAGATCATGGAAGCTAAATGATTTATACTACTTAAATATTTCCCAGACATGGGTATACATATATTTATTAACACATTTTAAAAAACATCACTTTAATGGCGTTGCCTCCTTCCGGCTGCCGCTGCGAAAAGAAGAAGCTGGCACGTATAGAGACATTGGCAAACGAATGTTTATAGCACTAATTTTATTTGTTAAACTAACAAACGGAATAGCAACAGCAAGGACGACGATGAAAACGGCAAGCAGCAGCGGCAGCGGCAGAGCAAATAAATGTGTCTAAGAAACGATTGAGCGCACAGAGACAGTCATATAAACAGAGGGACATAAAACTCATACGACATGTGGGCCGGCGGGCACTTGGCAGATGCGTGAGCGTGAGAACATGGCACTTCATTCACGCCCAGGAAGTGCTCCTACTTCTCCTTCGGCTTCTCCTCCTTGGCCTTCTCATGGAACTCCATGTGGACTCCGGACAGCAGTTCAACCGAAAGCCAAAGACAAAGAGAAGCTGAAACAAAATGTCGGGGCTACAGTTGCGCCTGCTGAACAATTTATACGACTATTTGAAGCCGGCGAGGACTGAGGACTGAGGACTGAGTAAACGCTGCTTAAGTGTGCGTAAATCTATGAGGACGCACAGTGCCATCCAGCAGAACCTATCGAAGGATTTCGGCTGTCTCCTCCATTGTCACCCGGCCATTGCTCGGTCGTCCTCCTAAGTGTTAACACATCGTTGCCGTCGCTCCGGCATCCCGATGGCGTCCCATCCTCCACTTGTTTTTATGTTGTAAAGCATTTTCATTTGTTTTTTGTCGCCCTTCGGTCCTTTTGGCTCTGCAGGCCGCTTTTAAGCTCGCTCCACTCCCGCCGATTGAGATATTCCTTCCTTCTGTTTGGCCTGAAATTGATAGTTTTAGCCAGATTATGATCTGTTTATTGTGCAGTGTGCTGTGAACCAGGGGGGAGTGGGCGGCAATTAAGTCGCCTTTACGACGAATGTGAAATGTGTTCCAGGCGATAACCGAAGAAGCGGCGCCCGGTCGGCGTTGTCCTTCATTTTCCGACCTTAACTTAATTTACTCGGAGGCAGGCGACCGACCCACATAGGGATGAGGACGGTGTCCCTTTCGGAGCGGCGTGAACAACAAGAATTGAACTTATTTCCGGCGGAAGTATCAGTATTTGGCAATTTCCGGCCTGCTCTTGTCTTAGTATTCTTTTTCCCTCCTCGCTGCGAAACTTTGCGAGTCAATAAATGCTAATACATATTAAGCGATTTCCCATCCAGACAATGGGTGGTCCAACTTGGCCACGGCCATGGCGAATCAATTTCCCGAGTCCGAGCCTAATTAATGCCGCACTGGGATAAGACCGAACTACATAGTTGCGACCAACTACTCGATGCTCGATTCTGTCGAACGTCTCAATTGCCATAGCGCCTCCACTTCCATTAGCCGCTGCTTTCATTAGGGCCACGGCCGTAATCATCATCAATAATCTCGCTTTGAAAACACATCACAAATTAATTTTGACAGCTCTTGGCATCAATTAATATCAATTATTCAAATAGTTGGCTGCCAGCGCCTAGATGGGACCCAAGTCTCCTCGGATCCCGTTCAAAGGAGTGGCGGACAACGGCGATGAGATGCTTCATTAGGCCCCATCTGTAAAGTCACCAGCAGGACAGGAGCTTAGCGGTCTGCTTTGTTCGGATGCCTCGTGGTCGTCCATTGATGATATCCAATGAGCCCTGAGTGCAACACATAATGGCAGCCCTGCCATAATCTAATGAACCAAATCTGAGGCACTGCCAGGGAAACATGCATAAATTACGCAACTGCACATTAACGTTAATTAGTTCATGGGTTTATAGAAATAGTGCGAAATAGTGAGCATTCTAATTCGCTTAATAAAACTTACAGGGTATACAACAGATCGCATAAAGTATAATATATCAATTCTAATAAAACACTTATCAATTTCCAGCTGAGAGAATGAAATCCCCACGGGATCTGCTCACCTAGCTCATCTGCTCTCGCCCAAACAATCTCTTATCAATTAAAGCCACTTAAAGCGCAATTCACAAATAATCGACATTATCATCGAACAAGCGCTTCGGATTTTCGAGCCCGTTTCCTGCCCGACTTTATATTCTATTATAGTAAACTGTCAGTTTTCGGTTCGCCCTCGGCTTCTCCCCTGGCAGCCCGAAATTATGCGTACGCATGTATGAAATACGAAATCGACTAATATTTATTTATACAATTTTGCGGTTCACAGAAAGCAGATAATTCAATTCCTGTGTCAAATTTGCCAAAATGTGCGTCTGCCGCTGCCACCGCCGCTTGTTCAGCCCACCGCACACACCTCAAATGCAGTTGAATTTTGTGATAAACCAATTTAAAGCCGACCGAAAATGAAATAAAAACGGTCTCGTATTATAAACTAATATGTGAGAGAGTGTCTGGGCTTATCACGGGTGCTCTCCCATCGGGGTCACAGGTTATCGAGGCACTGCCTCGGATCTCTGCTCTTGGAAGCTGGCCACGCTCTGTATTTAAACTACAGTCAAGGCGTAAACACATTGGCGATGAAACAGCTCCTCCTCTTGGTGGCACTCCTAGTCACCGTCGTTCAGGGTGGACTTCTTGGTAAACTATTCCATCGAGAATCCACAACCTCGTCCACAACTACAACAACCACGGAGGAGCCACGCCGTCCCTTCTTCATCAACAACAATGTGCCCACCATCGCGGATGGTTGCCAGGCTCACTTCACCTGCAGCAAGAAGCTCACCCAGGTGCCGGCTCCACGTCCCTGCCTCAAGTACTGCCTGAAGCTGGTCGAGTGTCCTGGCAACCAGAAGACCCGTGGCCAGCCAAATCAGTGCGTAGAGCTGGATGAGCAGCAAGTGCGGGAGGCCTACGAGGCATCCCGGGTGACGCCAGTAGCCGGTCAACCCGTCACCGAGAAAATCATGGAGGTGGCCATGATCGACTTCCCCTGCCAACCGGGCTATCTGCCCGACCATCGAGGACGTTGCCGTGAAATCTGGTAGGGGTTGCCGGTTGTTCTACCCAAAGGCCGAGCTTCGTGATACGTGTTTACTGCATAATTATATACTCGTGGAATTTCCCTTTATAAACATGCATACTCTAAATAATCACAATAAAACCCGACGAGCAAACATTGCGCAACGATCATCCCCAAGTTCGACACAGTAAAATATTTCAAGAACTAATTTCTATAAGGGAAGGAAGGTATTCTGAAGAATTCGAATGTTGTGGTTTGTAATGCAAACTGATAAGAACGAATGAATTCCTTAACAATATACGACTTTTCATCATCAAAATCATTTTGAAAACACTATATTTTTTTACCGTGCAGTCCCCAAAGAGTGGTCGCTGGTCAGGAATAATATTTTCGCTATCCCGACACGCCAAGTGTCAAACACACCTCCAGCGGCAGAAAAACTGAGGCAGAGAGACTCCGCGGAATTGAGGACTGAATGAACAATTCTGAAACTGGTGAAATGGGAGCTGGGGCTACTTTTTGGTGGGCGTGGAGTTTGGGCGGAGTCGTGGCAGCCAACAATTTTGTCTAATTACAGCGCGAGGAACAAGACGCCAGCGACAAGCCATAAAAAATATGCCATTTACACGAAAATAACTGTGATGTGCTGTGACCTGTGGCCCGAAACCCGGCACTGGCATTGATAGCCACCCTGCTCCTCCTCCTCCTCCTCCTCCTCCAGGGGTGGAGAGCTTAGCCACAGATACAGCTAACAAATGGCTTAATTCAGCCAGCAGCTTGCCGCGGAATGCCGAGCGATAAAAAGTACATGTATTAAAATTAACAAAACAACAAGACGCAGACAAGAGTCGCTTGTGGGGAAGGTGGAAATTTTCGGGGATTTTCCGTGGGCTGAGGGCGGGTCCCATCACGTGATTGACGCACATTTCGAGCCAGCAAATACAACTGCTAATTCGACGCACCCAACAACTACAACTGAGTCAGGAGGACTGGAAGTGGAAATTTTATGTGTCTTCGTCATGTTAATTGTTTTCCTTTGTTCGGCATTGTTGCCTGTTTTTTGCCGGCTGACTGCCTGGATGGCTGACTGGCTTTGTTGTAAGCCATAATTTGCGCGCTTATAACTCAAAACTTTCGCCGTCAAGGCAAACGCAACTAACTTTATTAACTGAAGGAGCGGGCGCCAGGTTTGACTTCATTTGGGTTCATTCTTTTTGTTTTCTTGATTTCCGTTTCCGACGACGCGACGTCAAGGGAAAGCCACTGCGTTGGCTGGCGAGGAGAGGACGCAACTTTCTTTAGCTTGTTTTTATGGTAATCGGCGCATAACAAAAACCACAATACGCTCTCGAGTCCTCGAGCTCCAAGTCCGGGGAGAGTCACCCACCTGTGTGTGTGTGTCTTTGGGCAGTGGGGCAACGGGTGGTGGCATGGCATTTGGAAATTAAACTGCGCATAGTCCTTAAAATTTTATAACTTAATTTCTGTTGGTTTGGCATTTTTGTGAACTTTTTGATTTGATTTTCGTTTCATTTCCCACTCGCACAACTCCTTTCTGGCCGTATCGGTTTGGCTGTCTGTGGGTGGTGTATTTTCTCTGTATTTTCCAGGCAGCAAGGTGGGTGGCTGGGTGGCAGGGTGGCCAGGTGGTGACGTGCCTGGCGTTCTTTTTCTGCCGGAATTCGGCATGCGAATTAGAATAATAAACTGCTGGAATTTATTTGGCACAGGAAAATGCTTTGGCTGCGCTGATAAGGTTGATCTATGGTCGCTGGCATTTCAATGGCCCCGATAAGAGCAATGAGTTTTGAAGGATTATGCCGATGGCAGCATAATTGATGCGCCAAGCCGCATGCTATGCGAACATAACTCAATCGTTGGTAATTTTCGGAATGGAAATCCGGGTACACACTTCATTATAATTCTTTTGCGGCTTCCAGGTCAAGTTAAAATTCGTTCCCATTTCTTCTTGTTCCCATCTCTGGCAGCGCAGATGCATTTTACATTATGCTAATTGCACGGACATCAACTGCGAAAACAATGCAACTAATAACAGAGAGATGAAAATGCAAATGAAAAGGCAAAGGTACAAATATAAAAAAGAGACAAAAAATAGAATAGGGTGCGGGAGAAGGGCAAATAGAAAATAAACCAAAGAATGTTCATTAAATTTTCATTTAGTTGCGCAATTATTTTTGCGCAGCCATTTTAATAACACTAATTTACCTTCAATTTTCAACTCTTTTTCCGTGCCGCACAAAGGCCACAGAGACGAGATCAGAGATTGGGAAACAGAGAAATGCAGAGTATAAATATGCGCAGCTGCCACATAATAAAAATCATAAGTTTTTCACTCAGCTCTCAGTCCGTTTTTGCCGTCTATTAATTTCATTCCTTTCAGCATTCACTCAACCGGGTCAGAAATGAAGCTTAGCTATTACACAGGGCGAAAATCTTTAGTAGTTTTGAATTAATTGTTTTTATTAATAAGCTGCCTAAGAAAAATATAAATAAAGATTATGAATATTATTTTCTGAACTGACTTATAGCTAAACAGGTTGAATAACATGGTTTATAATTTAGATTTCATATCATTTTCAATATACTACTTTTTCAAGTGTAAAAAGAAAAAAGCTTGAAGGGATCAAAATCTTATTATATTATTTAAGCCTTAAAGACAGTTTAAGACACAGAATTCCCTGCAGTGTTCTCTTTCTTTTTACCAATTTGTACCATTTAAGGTTACTTATTTGTTAATAGGAACACTCTCTGACCAACAAGTAATATATCAAGTTTTTGACTGCAGCAACGACTGTCATGCGAGGAACAACCAAGGCAACGAGGACATCAAAGGCGACCAGGACATTAAGTTCATTCTAAGCCTTTTGCATTGCAAATGCTGCAGCTGCTCGGCGTCATCGTTCTGGGTGTAGTGGCAGGATGGAAAACTCCTTGGTTGGCCCCACAATCACTTTTCAATTAAATGGCATTCTTCTCTCAGCCATTATTTTGTGTTTTTGCCTTTGGTCCTGTTTTTTTCCAGCTCCGAGCGAAGCTCTCCTCCTCGTCCTGCCACAAAAGCAGCAGGCGTAAAAATTCGGCAAAGAGATAGAAAGAGAGTGAGTTTGAAATTGGTAAAAGGACGACTCTACGGTGTTCTTTGAAAATAACACAATCATTTCGGGTTCATTTATATACTTGACCAACTCATCGAATGGAGAATGAAAGCCTTTTTGAGTGGCCCTAACTCGCAGTAACAGCTTGTTCAATTGTCAATCATTAATTCGGATTGATTTGACATGACGCAAGGACCCGACTCCGCCATTTAAAGCCCCCAAAATTAATTATAAAATCAATTAGGAAAGGCTCCAGCCCAGGATTAACACAGATCCCGTCATAATTAGGTGCCGAAAAAGCTTTTCTTTCGCCAAAGTGTCAGAGGAAAAACAATAAAATCCCTCGCTCGAGATTGCGGGACACTTTTTCAAGTTGGCCTTTTGGGGTGCTAGTCCTTTAGGATTAGGACTAAACTTTGTTAATTCGCTGAAATTTGGGAACAAGTAAGCAAATAACTGGGAAATTAGCCCAATAAAAAAGGTACCTTGGGTATGGCTAGAATTGAAAAGAAATTTAAGAACTCACCTCATTTCTAAAATACAGTATGTATCAGCTATAATATCCAATTTATATTTCTTAAGTGTAAAAAACTAACAAATCTTTTGATTGAAAATATTGTCATAAAGGCTCTTTATATTTTTTAGACTTTTATAGTTAGATATATTTTTGCAGCACTAATTACCTTATGGTGTGTCTGCCTGTAAGTAAAACGATACAACCGCCGGTAACTTTAAGCAGTTACTTTTATTTGCAATGAGTTTTACCTAAGTACACATAAGTATAAGTACTGAGAGGCTTGCTGGCTAAGTGCGGCATCGGCACATTTGGATTACAACTTTCGGCGAAGGGTCAACCCCAGATCCGAGGGGTCACTCCTCCAGCTGCTATGTCCTCTTGAATGCGTTTACCTGGCCCGTGGGCGTGGGCGTGGTCGGTGAGTCCACTGCCTCCACGGCATCGCCGTGCTTGAGCCAGTGCGGCGCCAGGCGCAGCATGAGTATGGCGCCCAATGGAGCTGTGAAGATAATCGCCAGAACCGAGATGATGAGCACATTGCTGGCCAGGGCCAGCAGATCGGCGTTGGCCGTGGTAGCAGCTCGGGCCAGGTCCAAAACCACCGGTCCGAGAGCAGCCTGAAACGAAGAGAGAGAAAGTCGCTATGGTTAGATGGCTCATGTAAGGCGACGGCCACCGCTGCGTATGAGTGATATGGGCAAAGACCAGATTAAGTACGGTTCGTGCTGTACAATTTTAATTAAATCAGTACAAAAAGCAAAGACGGGGGACAGTGAAATATGCGCCGCATATTAGAGAAAAGTTTAGCAGCCACACATGTGACCCTTGGCCACAGTGTTCTGTATTTTTTTTTCCCAGGGCAGTAAGACAGGATGGCGAATAAGTAAGCCAGCGGAACATTTAAATTTCTGGCAACCACAGACGCACACCGGCACACTCGCCAGCCGCTCGCACACTCCTGGCCAGGCGACATAAACAAAATGTCCGTTTGCGGTTAAACTGCAAACAAAAGGGATGGCATGCCAACTGCAGCAGTGGCAGCTTCGGCGGCGATGACTCTGGCCAGGAGAACATGACCTGCAAATACGTGTATAACTTAAGCATGGGGAAACACCAGCACCAGGACGGTGGCCAGGACGACAGCCAAGCCCGGCTGCCAGTGGCAAGAGAGTGAAGTGAAATGGCCGGCAATGAAATAAAGAGAAAAAAAATGCAACCAGGCCAGGAGACAAAGGATGGGAAATGGGAAATAGCAAGGGAAAATTGAGGGAGAGAGCAGACGGGGCAACCGCAACAACATGACACGCGGAACGGGAAACTTACTTGGACAGTTGCTTTGGGAAAACCGGAAATTGTAATGTAGGCACGTTCCTTTCTCGACAGATTTCCGCCATATGTGGATAAATATGCAAAAGCCAAGCGAAACTGAAAACAAGAACAAGAAAGTGGTCATCTCGGGCTGCTGCTTTTCTTTTTTTTTCCTGCCCCTCGGTTTTTCCGTATTCAGTTGTGTGTGCAGGTAACATTTGCATTGCGGTGCCAGAACATTTTCATTTCGGTTTTGCCCCATCCCAGCCTCATCCACTCCCGGATTTCGTATTCGCTCTTTGTTACCATAGAGCGGGACTGGGTGGGGATCCGAGCCTTGGGGACCCGTGGCTTGGCGGAGTATTCCCGACACAAAACTGAATGGGAACCGAAAGAAATTAAATAAGTGCCCGGGCGAGCGCTGCACCACCTCCGGCTGCAGGTCCCGCCCCCGGCGGCCATTTTAATTACCAAACTTCCGACGAGGACCAACAAGGCCCCATAACCGATTACATGGCCCTCCAGCACGTTGAAATTAATTTCCTTGCCAATGAGGGCGAAGGAGACGGGCTTGAGGAACTTCCACAGGAGGTCCAGGCGCTTGGGCACACTTGCCTGCGAAGAGAAATCAATGGTTTGTTATTAGATCCGTGCGTTCTCGTCATGTTTTCCTCAGAGTTCAGGGTTTCCCCCGCCCAAGGGCCATTTAAATCAACTGGCCAGGACACAGCGCAAATGCTGCTCAGAAAGCCAATTCGCCAATCGGCTTTCGGTGCGGACGGGAGCGAAGCGTTGCCTTGGAAATCAAGTGCGCTCGTCTAGCAACTGGGTTAAAAGTTTAAGGTAAAAGGTAAACGGTAAATGGAGAGAGCCAAAGAAAAACACTTGGTCGAAACAAATCGAGGACCAGCAGCAGTCGACTCTGACATGGGACAAGGACGTGATGTCACAAATTACCTAGCAAAAATCCCGGACTACAGGCGCTTTTTATAGCTGCAACCGCTTCGAAGGAACAGACATAAAAAATGGTACTATTGCCAGTGAGGAGCATTTTTCTTGGCCCAAACTCAAGCCCAGAAAAACTCGGTAAAAGGGAGCGGGTGGGCTCAGTGCCCCAAAAACACTCAGGAGCGCCAAGGTGAAGGCAAATCCAACGCACTCCCGGCAGGCACAAAGTGCCGGCCGACTGAACCAGATCCAGATGCTGTTCACCGAAAGAAATAATTGTGATCCCATTGAATTTGATTAAGTCAAATCAAGGTATAAACAGAATGAAGAAGAGCACGAATTGTTACAAAGACCTATAACAATTCTCGAAATTGACTCCTGAAATGTGAATTTAATCAAGATATTTGTAACAGTGTTTGAATACTTACAATTTGCTGGGCCTGCAACTGCTGCGGTGTCAGCTTGTTCTCCTCCCGCCGCCATCCAATCCTTGCAATAAAGGCTGTCGTTACGCAACCCAGGGCGCCGGCTGACGTATAGCCAATGACTCGGCTGCCCATCACGGCGATGGTGCCTCCCAAGATGGTCAGGACGAAGCGCAGCCCATTTGCGTAGGTCTGCAAGGATGAGCACAAGACAGATATGAAGAGACTGAATGCCATAACAGGTGTAGGAAAACGAAACGAAAACAAAAAAAACCATCATCAACATCACAAAAAGGGCAAAATCACTTTACAAAACTGTGATGGAAACTGGTTCGCTTTTTTATCCCGTATCCGTCCATTGTTTGTGTTTGGTGTGGTCAGGTTGCGTATACGCAACGTGGGCTGCAGTTTGTGCTCAAAAATAGAGAAGTTGTCGGTCTGCTCAGACTGCTTTTGTTTGCCTACCAAAATTTTTTTCCCGAGCTCAAAAATGTTTCCAAAATGACTTCTATCTACACCGATTTAGATCTGGTAAATCTGGCTTGCGACAATGTTTTTTCTACCGGGGTAATATTTTGAGATTTTTTAACTAACTGCAGGCCTGCAAGCCTGACAACCTGTCAGTTCTTGTGGCTGGTGTTGAGTTTCTGATTGAGATCTTTTAATTTTCCTTAGTTACCTGGCTGAACCGCAATTCATTGTTGTAATTCAATTTACGCTCTGCCATCTGTCGATGGGTTTTTTGAGTTTAGTTTAAGCTGAAGTTCACCATAAAATTGCATTAAATTGGTTTCGATTCTGCCTCGTTAGTTCACCACCGGTCGTCGTTATTAAAGGGAATAGTAAACTTCTTCGTCTCGGTAGGACTTTTAATTTTCCACTTTTCTAGCGATAAGTTCTCTTTTTCCGGCGCCTCGTTACAAAGTTTTTGCTCGAATATCTTATTGAAAAATACTGTCAGCGAGCCCCAGTGAAATAAGTGGCGAAGGTGACGGTGAATGCCAAATTACAAGAGACGCGTAATAATAATAAAATAAAGGCGGTTGCAATGACATGCGAAAAGAAGCCGAGGCCTGATGACAGCACCTCCATCCTCCTACTCTCTTGATGCTGACAGGGAACTGTGAATAGCCCCAAGCTGTGGCTATGTGTGTGGATGCTACAAGGGGGTGGCTTTGGGGAGGCCCAGGGTGGTGGATGCAAGTGGCGCAACTTCAACGACGCTCAGCGTGAAATTTTTGTACAAACTGCAGCACTGCGTGGATGCGGATGTGGATGCCACTTGACGATGGCAAAGGCGAGCGCGACTTGCAGAAAACAAAAGTTATGAGGAGCCGATGTGTGTGAGGCGGGAGTAATGCCTGGTGTATATGGTGGGTGGTAGATGGTAGTTGGTGGGTGGCACAGCAGCGCATTCAGTGCACCACCCATGGCGTTTGATTATGCGCGCCATTAGCGGTGTAAGTTGCGGCAATGAGTTTTGTGGCTCTCGCTGCGGCTGCACTGCCTCAATGTCCCCGGCATCCTAGCATCCCAGCATCCTGGCATCCTGGCATCCCGGCGTCCTGGCATAACTTCACATAGATGCTGGCAGTAACTGTCGTCGCAAATGTCGCCAGCTCCGTCGTCGTTGTAGTCGTTCTGCATGTAAGTGTCTTTTTATGCAAAATGCACCCACACAAACAATCGCTTGGGCGGCATAGAGGGAAGGGGATGCTGACACTTGGCGAAAAAATGACATCTACATCTGGTAACTTGGATCCAACAATATTATTTTGCAATCTATGTTGCTATAAAAGTAAATATGAAATTGGGTGTTCTTCTTACTAAACTAATTCATTAGAATATTTCAAAATCTCTTTCGAACCATTTTATAAATGAATCCTTAATGTATTCTCAATTTTAGGGGACATTTTTCCACTGTGCAGTCGTCTACATCGGCCTGTACATATGGCACAGAGCAACCGCCCCGCCTCTACCCTCCTGCCACTTGGGACTTGCGCGCGTTTTGCATCATTAAATGCGCTGATTGAGTGTCTAAGTGTTCACTGAATGTGCATTTTAAGTGCAGCTCCAGAGCTCCAGCTCCACGACGAGAACGAGAACGAAAACGAGGACGAGCTGCGTCTGGGTCCGCGCCTTTGTCTGGCCGGAATGCTTACCGCGTTGCGGGACGGCAAGTTCTGGAGCATAGTGCCATAGAGATAGCCAAAAACGAGTCCAATCCCGATGCCAATGGGTCCCTGCAGCACTTGTTGGGTGAGCGAGGCTGCAAGACAGTGAGAAATCAAAGGGATTGGGTTTGGGGTTTAGTCGAGTCTGCTTTCAAGGCACGGCGGGTGGCACGCACTCGTGGAGAATATTACGCTGATTATCACGCCGAACATGAAGATGGCCACCACATCGTTGCATGTGGTCATGGCATAGATGAGCGTGTGGATGCCACTATTGAGGCCCAGTCGATCCTCCTTCAGCTTCAGCATCACGGTGACAACCACATTCGGGGAGACGGCGGTGATGACCAGACTGTAATGTTAACATTGCACCAAGTCCTTACGGGAATATGTTATCCTTACTCACCCCAATGCGATGCCCCACAGCCAGGGCATGGATAGGGTGAGGTAGGCCAGACCGGCAATGACTGCCACTTCGGCAATTGTGGGCAGCAGCGTCAGGCGGAGAATCATGAACCACAGTCGCTTGAAGGCGTCCCCGTCGAGTCCCAGACCAGCCAGCAGCATAATGTTGATCAGAGCCATTTCCCTGTTAATTTAAGAAAACTACCTTACCAGCGTTTCCATAAAACATTCCTTCTACTTACCTCAAAAACAATTCGAATCGCTGATAGCCTTCGAAATTGGCCAGGCCCAGATTGGTGTAGAGCACACCGAAGAAGAGCATGCCCAGCATGTCGGGCAGGTGGATGAAGGTCACCAGGATGCCGGAGACCTGGGCGCCCACGAAGAGGAATGCAATGCGCATGATGACTGTCTGCGGCTCCGAGAAGTCCGGCAGCAGGACCCAGGCCATGGCCCACAGTCCCAGGAATATGGCCAGCAGAGCCACATGCTCGGAAGTGTTTACCCAATGTTGAACCAAATAGCGCCACCTAAAATAAGCAGAAAAGAGTTCACCTACCGACTTGAAGATTCTTTATAAACTGAAAAGTATTATAGCCAGAACAATTATATCGAGAGTTTCGTGTCTCTAAGTTATGTACACATAATTGCCGCTAATTACCAAGCAAGGAGGTATAAAAGCAACCTGAACAGAAGAAATTCAACCAGGAACAGGACCAATGGACAACCACAAGGATCGGACTGAATCCATGCACGTCATTCTACGGGTCATGCAGCTATTCGGCCTCTGGCCATGGTCGCTGAGAGAAGGAGAACAGTGGACCATATCGGGTTTCGTGAAGCGCAATTACCGATTCCTGCTACACCTGCCCATAACCTTCACCTTCATTGGACTCATGTGGCTGGAGGCCTTCATCTCCAGCAACCTGGAGCAGGCAGGCCAGGTGCTCTACATGTCCATCACGGAAATGGCGCTGGTAGTGAAGATCTTGAGCATATGGTACCACCGCACAGAGGCTTGGCAGCTGATGCAAGAGCTCAAACATGCGCCGGACTATGAACTTCGAGGGGAGAAAGAGTTGGATTTCTGGCGTAGGGAGCAGCGCTATTTCAAGTGGTTCTTCTACATCTACATACTGATCAGCCTGGGAGTGGTCTACAGTGGATGCACTGGAGTGCTTTTCCTCGAGGACTACGAGCTGCCTTTTGCTTACTATGTGCCCTTTGAGTGGCGTAGTGAAAAGGGTTATTGGTTCGCCTATGGTTACGACATGGCGGGGATGACCCTTACCTGTATCTCCAACATAACCCTGGACACCCTTGGCTGCTATTTCCTGTTCCACATATCCCTTTTGTACCGTCTGCTGGGACTGCGATTGAGAGCTCTCAAGAATATTGAAGATGATGCTTCGTTTGGCTGCGAATTGCGAACCATCTTCAGGTTGCATCAAAGTGTCCGAAGGTCTCTTAATAACTATGAAGAATTTTTTTCTTATGATAATCTCTTTCAATCTTTATAGGCTAACTCTGACCTGCCAGAAAATCGTCTCGCCCTACATTCTTTCGCAGATCATCCTGAGTGCCTTGATCATCTGCTTCAGCGGATATCGTCTGCAGCATGTGGGAATCCGGGACAATCCTGGCCAATTCGTGGCCATGCTGCAGTTCCTCAGCGTGATGATCCTGCAGATCTATCTGCCATGCTATTATGGGAATGAAGTAACCGTCCATGCAAACCAGTTGACCAACGAGGTCTATCACACCAATTGGCTGCAGTGTGGGACTCCGATTCGTAAGCTACTGAACGCCTACATGGAGCACCTAAAGAGACCGGTAACCATTCGAGCCGGCAACTTCTTCGCCGTGGGATTACCCATTTTTGTCAAGGTTTCTGTTCTTTAATTCATACTAAGATTTTTTATTTCAAAGTATCTTTTTTTATCGACAGACCATCAACAATGCCTACAGCTTCTTTGCCCTGCTACTGAATGTGTCAAAGTGAGACCAAGCGAGTAATTTTAATAAATTAATAAACTAAACAAAAAAGCTTGAATATCTCGAATAATATTTGGAATATTTGTATATGTATAGCAAAATGTAAGGGATTTACATAAATATTTGGCTTGTTAACGAAATAACCAAGTCAAAAATGCGTAAATTCCAATTTGGAAAACTTTTCGGTGTTTGATTTTATTAGGATACTAATAAACTTTGAAAGATTCAGTTATATATTGATTGTCGATTGTATTTTTGTGCAATTTTTATTAAGATTTGCATTATAAATAGAAATATATATGACATTTGACAATCATTGGCTTTTCGCCTTCGCATAACTACAAGAAGACCTAAAATATGTATATTCTAGATATATTTAATCAATGTTTTCACATGCTAAATTGTTGGTAAAATTAAAAATTTTACAAATATCATAACTAAGCCAACAATGCATTAATTTCAATTTGGATTTCTATGCTAGTTTTTATTGTGTTAACAAATCTGCATACTTATTTTTTATATACAAAAACAAAAACCATTTCTCATAAAAAAAAGGCACAGTAGAGTTTTTTTCCAGAAAAATTGTATGTATCCAATGTCGTAACTCTAATGATTTTCTACTAAAATTTAGTTGCCAAATTGAGCTCAAACTATTCTCTTAAAAGGTACTACAGAATAAAAATGAAAACACCTTTTCAGGGAAATCTCAAATAAAAACCTGTTCACTGCTGCACAGGTTTCGATGCACTGACATGAAAATCTGTAAGTTTAACTTTGGTATGGGGTTACTTCCCCTGACATCTCATTTTTCTATTGCGTGACTTACACATTTAAAGAGGGGCAGCAATTAACAGGATACTTATGTCAGCAAGCTAATTATTGTAATTGTTCCCACACATTAATTGTATAAATATTTTGACTGATTACCGAAACCAATCAGGGACGGAAAAGCGCAAGAACTAAGCTCACAAAAAGAACCGGTTCCAGAAATCTTAAGGGAATTATTTAAATTTATTCTTTACTCTCCCAATGCCAGTCATTTTTCTTATAAAATATACGAACTAGAACGAAAAATATAAGTTCCACGGGGAAGAGGTTAAACAACACCGCCCTAGTTCAGCCTCAATGAGAGGAAAGTCCCCAAAGTGACCTACGAATACATTGGAATCACCAGAGGTTATATAAACAGGAAAACTCTAGGTATTTCCTTTGTAAAGTGAAGTGAAATTTGAGCTACTGAAATGGAGTCCACAGATCGTCTATCTGCTATCCGATTCCTGATTGCGGTCCAGCGTTGGACAGGACTCATTAAGTGGAAAAGCGATACCGAAGGCGGACTTTTATCCTTGATTAAGCGCATTTATCCCTTTGTATTGCATCTGCCGCTGACTTTCAGCTATATAGCCCTGATGTGGTACGAGGCCATAACCTCCGTGGACTTCGAGGAGGCCGGCCAGGTTTTGTACATGTCCATAACGGAGCTAGCTCTGGTTACCAAACTCTTGAACATTTGGTATCGTCGCAATGAGGCTGCTCACTTTTTGGAGGAACTTCAAAATGATCCAGCCTATAGTCTGCGAAATCCTAAGGAGATCCAGTTCTGGCAGCGAAACCAGAAGGATTTCCAACGCATATTTTACTGGTACATCGGAGGCAGTCTCTTTGTGGCGCTAATGGGATATGTCAGCGTTTTTCTCCAGGAGGCATACGAACTGCCATTTGCCTATTATGTGCCCTTCGAGTGGCGCAATCAGGAGCGCTACATGTACGCCTGGGGTTACAACGTGGTGGCCATGACACTCTGCTGCCTGTCCAACATTCTGCTCGATACCCTCGGCTGCTACTTCATGTTCCAGATCGCCTCACTCTTCCGCCTGATGAGCCTCCGGCTGCAGGACCTGCAAGATGCCCCCGAGGAGCAGGCCAAGCCGGAGCTGCGTCGACTCTTTCGGCTGCATGCCAGGGTTCGTCGACTGACGAGGCAGTGCGAGTTGCTGGTGTCCCCGTATGTCCTGTCCCAAGTCGTTTTCAGTGCCTTTATTATCTGCTTCAGTGCCTATCGGCTGGTGCACATGGGCTTCAAGCAGCGGCCAGGACTCTTCCTCACCACCGTTCAGTTTGTGGCCGTGATGATCGTTCAGATATTCCTGCCCTGCTATTATGGCAATGAACTAACCTTTCACGCCAACGCCCTGACCAATAGCGTCTTTGGCACCAACTGGCTGGAGTACTCCGTGGGCACTCGAAAGTTACTAAATTGCTACATGGAGTTCCTTAAGCGACCGGTTAAGGTGCGAGCTGGAGTCTTCTTTGAAATTGGATTACCCATTTTCGTAAAGGTAAAGGTTATTCTTGGGTTAAAATTTAACGAGATGGCAGAAATCACTATAAAACTTAAATGCAAGCACTTGAAATGCTGCCTCACTAACTTATGTACATATTTTTGGCAGACTATCAACAATGCCTACAGTTTCTTCGCCCTGCTGCTGAAGATATCCAAGTAAAGAAAAGGATCTACCCGCTGAAGCAGCACAATGGAAACACCCACGGGTCGGATACGTAACGCTGTAACTCATACGCCGTGTGGTTGTAAACAACGAGAATAAACGCCTGCAGCCAGCAAGGCATTTTGCCAGCTATTAAAGTAAGTGACGCAGCCAAAAAAAAAGAGAAGAGCGAAATAAAAAAAGGGGAAATCAGGCTCGACTACTGACTAGACGTCGGGGGCTAGGGGACATAAGGACATGGGATTTGGCTGGGAGCAGGACCGTCGCTAACGGAAGCACGCGCGGCTGCCTAGTGCAGCGGCAACTTCCACAAGGACATTGTTGGCGCACAAAAGAAATACAAAATACAAAATACAAAATACAACAAATACAAAACGAAAGGCGGCAAACGGATATGCGAAAAACGCGTGCAATGCAAGTGTGAATGGCGGCGCTGCTGCTGTCCCGCCGGAAGTGCATTCAAAGGGTTAAGCACAAATCCGCACAATACCACCGAGCCGGAGTTCTGGCCACATGAGCTTTTCACTTACCACTTGGGTCCTTTGTACTCGTCGCCATGAACTCCGCCCGTAGTTGGCAAGCCGGAGCCGGAGCCGGAGCCAGAGCCGGAGCCCGCATTGTTGGCGGCAACATTTTGTGTTGTATTTGTTAAATTTAATGATGTCGGCGTTAAAATTATTGTTGCAGCGTTTTGTGTGGCATCTCCGCCGCCTGCATCCTCCGGTATCCTCTGTATGTCTAATTTGGTATGCAGCGGAGTAGTGGGTAGGTTGTCGCCTTGCAACTGTGCAACTCCCTGCGGCACAGTGCCCGTGCTCCCGTTCCCGTTGCCGTTGCCAGTTCCTTGCGTCATCCTGTCACCTGGCGCCAGTACTCTGCTGTTGTATTGCTGCTGCTGCTGCTGTTGCTGCTGTTGCAGCTGCCTCTGATTTGGCTGCTGTCTGCCGCGCTTAGCTGTAAGTGGCGAACAGATTTAAATGTCTTAATAGATATGTCAGAGTCAAGTTCACTGAGGAAAAGGTATTCGAATAATGCATAGTTTTAGCGAGGAAGTAAATCAAGAGATGTTGTTGTTTAAAGTAAGGAGTAGATATGGGAATGTAGATTTTTAAAGTTCAAAATAACAAATCTAAGAAGTTTAGTTTGTGATTTTGAAGCTGAAATATTCAATGAAAACTAAAAGACATTGCAGTTTTCAAGATTATATTACAGATACAGAACGAAAGAACCCTGTTCTACCTTTTTTGCTGTGCACCAAAAATGGAAACAAAATGAGCAGCGTCTTCCCGGGGCTGAGATGGCTTATATCCCGGTTGCATTTAACCCATTCCTCTGCCACTTTTGCAGCTCATGCATAAAACGAAGGCCCGGCACAGCACAGCAGTTGGATCGTTTAAATGGCTAAGTGCAGCAGACACTCTTGCACACCCTGAACTCGAGGCGCTGTCGACGCTGGCGAAATGAAGATTGCAACAAAGATTGACAACCGTTGATTGCACAGAACGGGCTCCGAGAGGTCGAAGAGGACGTGGCGAGGACACCGATGCCTGCCGGCAGGAAGATGTTTTCGCCTGGCCCAGGACGAGGTCCTCCAGACGACAGGTGCTCGTGCTCGTGCTCCGGCAGTCGCCTCCATAATTGGCTTCATTGTTGCCGCGACAACTTCACACTTTTGTCAGTGGAACGAGGCGGGGCGGTGGAAAAGTGCTAGATGCTAGGCAGTAGGAAATACATAAATATTTCCATTTATAATTAGCGCACTTAATGCCGGTTTGTTGCGAACCATGCCATTCCGGGCAATTGACGCCTCCACCTGGAGGGGCTAATTGGAGGGGAAGACTGCGATTTGCATATGAAGCGCCATTCTAATAACGACAATCCACAATTCTCCTCGCAACCTGGCGATTATTATGCAGAGTGGCCCGTGCAATCAACACTTGATTTTGATTCGATTGGATTGGGTTTTGGAATCTTGTGGTATGGTCTAGGCCCTTTTTTTATTTTCCCAGCTGCCAGTCGTGTTTGTATTTGATCTTAGAAGACGACTATCTGCTTGTCATTTGTCACCAATCCGCTGCTCCAGCTACGTGTTAATTGTGCGCAAATATTTAGCACCAATTCTCGCCGCTGCGGCTCGAACTCTGGTCCCAGGTTGCTGCCTGTTTGCGTATCTGTCCATCGATCACGTGTCGATTGTGATTGCGATTCAGAGCGTCATGCGACTCTTTGACACACACACGCCCAAATTGATTGGCGATGCTAATTGTTTGGCTTTGTCACAACCCAAGGAGCTCTCGCACCGAGTGCGTAATCTAGTCTAAAAATATCTAGATTACATTCTTATAAATGTTGTATTAGATTGTGACACAAATTATATTTCCCTTCTAATTATACGTTTTTGTTATTGGTAATTGATTAAAACACAACTTTGCTTAACATGGTGCTCTTATTGTTACTGCAAATAGATTAGTTTTTGCCTTATGTGGTAACAATTTATTAAATTATTTTTATGATGTCATTTGTTAAACAAATTTAATCAATCAATCAATCTGGTTTGGTTCAGATAATGTTATAAATTCTATCAAAATGAAGCAGGAGCGAAATATAGCACTATGATTAGTGGTGGTTTTAAATAACAAATTAATTATATTTATAGGCTTTAATTTCTGTACATATCCGTAGAATATCAAGGCTCAATTATCCTGTTTCTGAAATATTCCAGAAGTAAGAATATTAAGAAGAAATTAAGAAAGCTTCGAAAACTTATTATACCATTGTAGTTAGCCATAGATTCATAGGTCCGAATGTGCAATTGATCATAACTAAGTCAAAAACGCATTAATTTCATTTCGGAAATCGCTCCTATGTTAATTTTTGTTAGGTTAATAAATCTGCATACCCAGTTTAACATTTTAGAGAATTCAATTTTTTGGCCATTTTTATAAAATTTTCGATTTTCGGATAAATGTCAACATTTTTTTTTTACCAAACATTTCCAGATCGATTCCGCTGTTAATTCTGATCAAGAGTATATATGATTTATAGGATCGGAAATGACTCCTTCACTGCGTTTTAAACTTCAGACTGAAATTCTTGTTCCTTCAAGGGTAAACTTTAATTAAAAAGTTTCTATTAACAAATACATCGCACATTGATTGATTATTATATGTGACCTTCTCAGACATTAAAATATAAAAATAATAAAACTACAGCTGATTTGTGTATACGTATTCTCCGTCTGAGAGAGATAAGGCAAAAAAAGCTATTGAAAAAGCCGGCAATCAAAATATTTACATGCGCAGAAAAGCTGTGTCTCTCCCAAAAGTACACATTTATTTACATTTTAATTGCAATGAAAATATAAAATAATCAACTCTGTCAAAGGTAAGTGAATTTGAAATGTTGAACGTATAACTTTTTAAAATAGTAACTTAATTTGTAATTTCTAAAGCACTAATGAAATTGCATTTCCTAACAACTAAAGTTGGGGAATTTTAATGCGTCAACCGGAGCTAGTGATGCTTACTTGGATAAGTGATGAATAAATTGTTTTGTGACAGTCACAGCACTTGTAAACCTCAACAATATTCACTGGAGTTACATATTCCATTCAGAGATTATATTCTGTAGGAATCGTTCCATTTGCGACCTACCACACCGAACCGCACAAATTTAATACCGAACTAATCGCATTCGCTGGCCGCTGCCTACTGAGATCCCAACGCTCCCGGTACTTTCCACGGAAAGCTCCCATCTCTATATATATTTTATCTTATGCTAATAAAAAACATACATCTAGCAGACGGCCGGAGAATCTCTCGTGGGCACGCGAGCGAAACACATAAAATATTTGTTTAATAATTTAAAATTAGCAGGCACATTGGAGAAGCGAGAGCCAAGTGAGAGCTAATGTGAGGCGTTGGGAAATGATTGGGTTATTAGCAACAATTGGCACTGAAAATCATACGCGTTCTAGGTGTTAATCCAAAGAGCTGTCAGAGACCGATCAAGATATTAGCAATAAATATCTACTTCTAAGAGCTAACTGTCGGTGTGTGGATATTAGGTACTCAGAGAAGTATGGGAATTTCCAAAGGTCGTTCGTTTTATAGGATATAATCATTTAATATAATCATCATTTTTTGGCTAAAAGAATTTAGAAAAGCTTGTATTCCCATTGATTCCTTTATTTCTTCGGAATATGGGCATTTGTGTAATGAGATGTTTTTCAAAGAATCCCTGGGTTCCAGCAATACATAGTTGGGGTATCGCAGACCTCGGGGCTTTCCAACATAAACACTTGTTTTGGCCCGCGGCGCAATTATGATTACGAGCATTTGCTTATCAATTAATTAGCCATAACCAACAAGAAACTTATGTACGCCCGGCAAATATTTGCCATTTCAGCGGGGGCCAAACTCTCGGTTCGCCTCGGTTCGATGCGGTTCAGTTGAGATGAATTCATTATGGCTCCCAGCTTATTGAATATTTACAAGTTCAATGCGAAGTTCGCGTTTGAACTACAACAAATATTTAAGTTTTGCTAATTAATTTAAAATATCTCCCCGCCGTAGGAAACTTGCTAGGAAAATGGGGGGCTCAGAATGGGGATGGGAAAATGGGTGGGCTGGAATGATAAGCGAAGTGAGATTTCTTCGGCTGCATCTCCACATTTTTGAATTATGTGCCTCATTTAAAAGTTTTTGCGGCACTCACTTTTTATTTTATTATTTTTTTTTTTTGTCAGCTCCCGCCGCTGCAATGAAAAAATTGTGCATAAATTGTGCAAAGGTGTCGGCAGAGATAGCGCTCCACAGCGAGTATTGTAAGAAGGCGCTTTCATGGAGGTGGCTTCTCCGGTGTCCTCCACTCCACACTCCATTCCACTCCACTCCACTCCTGTTCTTTGTGATATTTCATATTTCATATTCATGCGCTGCACTCAGCGGAACAGCGTTGAGCCAACTTGAACTGCAAGTTGGCCAGGTCATTAAGGCTTCTTTGGTGCTGCTGCTGCCATTGCGACCTGCAGCTCGCCCCATTGATTATTACCTTTGGCAGTTGTCCCCTTCCTCCTCCTGTTCCAGCTGCTGTTCCTGCTCCTCCTGCATCTCCTTTGGCCTTGGCTCCGCCCCCTATCGCTGCTGGCACTTTTTGGCATTTTATCTTGTCATATTTTCTGCAACTTTCAAGTGACCAGGCACGAAAATAATGCAAAAGTTTTTTCCCAGCCAGCAAGCCTTGCTCCTTCAGCTCCTTGGATGGCCAGAGACTCGCTTTTCAATTGCTGCAGAAGTTTCCACACAAATTATAGGACTGGTACTGGGCACAAAAAACGGAGGATCTCCCACGCAGTGCGATAAAAAATAAGTAACATGGATACCCGAGTAAAGATCCTGGCTGCAGCTGGACAAAAGTTTTTGTCACTCGGTTGTCATGTGAGGAGAAGGAGCCGGGCAATGAGTTGCGTACGGGTGCGAATCCGAGGTGTTAATTGGAATCGAGGCAAAGACTGCTCCGGACGAGGCCGTCGCAAAAACTAAACAACTTCGAGGCTCTGGCAGTCTGAGAGACAGCCAAGACATTTGCCATTTTCATGGGAAACTTCTTTAGGGTTCTCCAATGGAGAATTTATTGTACTTCTCAAAGTTGAAAAAGTTTTTCCCTGTCACTTAACATTTAGATTGTTATTACAGCGTTGAACTGCTGCAAAAAGTGCCATAAATTGGTTTTATTTGAATGCACTTCCAGGGAGGTGTGTACTGGCGGCTCGTGTGTGTATTTCCAGTGATTTATATCTGTTCTTCAACTATTCATTATTTACAGGGCGAACGTCAGTTGCTTTTTCAATATGTTTAAACGCTAAATTGCACACGGTGATGACTTGCTGTGCTCCCTCCTTTTATTTACTTATTTTTTATATACGTATGAATATATTTTTTTATTGCTACCAAAGAGTTTGAAGTTCTCTCTGTGCCTGTCTGGGTCTGAGAGCTGAGTCTCTGTCTGTGTCTGCAGCGAATATCAATTCACTTTTCCCATACCTAACATACATTTATTTTATTTATGTTTACTTAAGCGTGCCCCGCTTTTCGCATCCTTCTCGTGTGTGCTCGCCAGGATTGTGCTGCAAGTTGCAAGTTGCAAGTTGCAACTTTCCTGTTAACCAGTGCGTGGCACTGAATTCTAAAAAAATAATTTCTTTCCGCGCAAAGTGGGTAAACTGCTCGCTGGCTGGCTGTCTAAGATTGCATTCCGTTGTCACGCACTTCCTGCCCAGAGACGAACTCACGCCCCAACGATTCACGTCTAATTTAGTGCTCATACATCGCAAATCAGGGAAAACTGGCAATCTCTTTGGGCCCCCGGGCTCCAGGCTCCTGTCTCCTATCTCCGGGGGCCGTGCAGATGGAAAAAGACGAAAGCAGGTCAGCGTGCATTCATCGCTTGGCAAATAAAACGACAAATTGAAAATGGCAAAGAACATGAAAAGCCATATAAACAAACGACGGTCAAAGGCGGAGTGCAGTGCTCCGATTAAGCGCAGTTTTAGTAATTAGCTGCAGAGCAAGTGCAAGTGCGACATCCTTCAGAGTTGAGTTTGGCAGCAGTCAAAGGACCTGTCGTCGTCGTTCTGCGAAATGCTGTTGGGCAAAACGCATCAGCGTCAATGCAAATGGCGTCGGAGAGTGTCTGTGTGTGTGTGCAAGTGCAAGTTAAAATTTTCCCATTCATTTGGCAATCATTATGCTGACTCACGGCGGCGCTGGCATTTATAAATGTCACCCGCTGCGTATACGTAATGAACTGACTTGAGCACGGCTCTATGGGCACATGGGGCGAATGCGCAATGCGAATGCAACCATTGCTGATGCTGCTGCTGCTACTGGTTCTGCTTCTACTACGAATACTTATGGCACACACGCCCTGCATTTGTCAATAGACGAGAATGCTTGTGTGCCAAACGTATATCATGTTGGCTTTAGTTAACAGAAATGTCGCTGCCTCTCCTACGAAGCAGAAGCGACACATGAAAAGTGGTCGGTGGCAGTGGAGTGAAGGGTGAGCATCCATTCAAGGTTGAGCTTGAGAAATCGCCCGAGATGCTGCATTTAAATGGAATTTATTTAATATAAACGAGCCGCAGCAGCCTGCAGCGGGAGTGCACAAATATTTAAATATGACTTCCAGAAAGCAAAAATAGGAGTTACAGTCGGAGTTGGGAATCACTGAGGGCAAAACTCGAGTGCAAAGCGAAATGAATGCAGAGGAAATGAGCCCGGGCTAATGCATATTCATGGAAACATACTTTGCCGAAAGCTCCGGGCATTTGGCATTTATGCTAGTTGTCTGATTGTGGGCATTTGGTTGCAACTAAAAACGGCTCATTATTCGTGTGAAAATTCCATGGCGGCCATAAACCGGAAGCGAATCCTGCTGGCAGCCAAAAGTTCATGAATGCAAAGCAGAAACCCATATTTAAACACATGCTAAACAATTGCAGGTTCGGTGAGTTCAACAATAATAACCTGGGAAAAAAAGAGCTCTCCATGGACCACCTGCCAAAACACACTCACGGACTCGATTCAAGCGTAACTAATAAGCTTTCTAATAACTAGAAAGGATCTGTACTCAAACATGACCCTATGTTGAATAATTTTAGCAGCAACTGAAAATACGGCCACGCCAATCTCAGACCCACCAGTCCCTGTCTACATGGCGTATACGTAATATTGAAATATGAGAAAATATTACGTATACGCCCTGTTATCTGTCCTTCGGTGTGCTGCTCACTCAAAAGCCAAATGCCTCAATCAGATCATACCAGCTCAGACGAGAGACAGACAACAGGGAAACAAAACTTTGAATATAAAAACTATGAATATATGCTCGAATACATATATTAAGTATGCACTTCACAGCCACTTCGCTTTGGCCGACCCACAAAGCGCTGCTCACTGTCTGTGCCACCGGATGTCTCTCTCCAGGCTTTCACATTCACATTTCTCCTCATCCTTCTGTGTCCCCGTGCCTGTTTGCAGGATGTGTGCGTCACAGGATGGAGGAGGAAAATAGAAAGAATTTCCGGAACAAATCTCTGCGCTTCACCATGACGACAACGGACAATTAGACTTTCCACTTACCTTCCGAGGCTCCTGACATTGGGATCGGGGTGGTTCCAGGGTGGGAGCGAGGTGGGGGCTGGGGCCGCCCGCCCAGCAGGTGCTCCTTCTCGGGCTCCAGGATGCTGGCGGTCACCGTTTCGCTGGCTCGCCGCAGTAGCTGCAGCGGTGTGTGATTGGCATCCCGGTCCCGTGCCCGCTCCAGGTTTAGGTCCAGGTCGGCCTGATCTGGACTCTGGAAGGACTCGTCGAAGGGATTGCTGCTGCGAAAGGCCTGTAAGGGAGGACCCTCGCTGCCGGCCACCACGTCCAGGATATCTGTGGAGAGGGGTGCTCGTTAGTTATCCCATCAGCCTTGGCGCTAATTTGCTGAACTCCAAGTTCTTCACTTTGCACAGCGTGAATTAACTTTAAGTTTTCATTACACAAAGTCTCTTTCTTATCTTTGAAGTAACTTAGTAGCTTTGAATTGGTAACTAGGAAAATTATGAGAGAGTAAAGATACCAAAAACAATCTGTGATTATACTTTATTTATTTTATATTCTTATGCTATGTTTCTTTAAGATTTAAAGAAGTGGTTGATATAATTTTATTATTTATTAGCAAACAGCAAATGAAATATTTAAATTCATCCGAGATGCAATATTGTTATTCTAAGCTTAAGTAGAAATTCGAAAAGAAAGCAGCCAACAAACATTAAGATTATTTTTATAGATAAATGACTTTGCTTTAAATATTTTAATGCTTATATTTCATTCTCAAAATAAGGAAAAGCTTGAGAATGTCAATCAACTCACTAAATGCCATAAAATAGCCATATTGCAGTTCATATTTGTTTTATTATTTTCATTTCGTTGGAAAAATTCATTTCATTTTGCAACCCAATATGTATATAAATCATATTTTTTGTGGAATCTTTCCGTGTTTGCTGGTATGCGCACACGATTTTTATTTATTGGCACTTCAGCAGAAAGTGGCATTTAATTGATTAACCATAAACTCGTAAATTAGCGGCTAATGTGTGAATTGAAAACTGCCAGTTCGCGGTGTTAAAGCCCCCCCAAAAATTAAGCTTACCCAAGTCGGCGCTCATGTCGAAAGAGCGAAGCAAAACAATTCTGACTGCCAATAGACGGTGATAAAGAGCGGCGACAAAGAGCGATTGGTGACGCAACTTGTGACGATGACGTAGCTGCCCGTTCTTGAGTCAAATTGATGGACAAAGAAGAGAAACGCCACAGTTCAAAACAAAAGAGAGAAATATACTTGGCTATCGACCACGCGAATCGAGGAACTATAGCGAATGGAAAACACGCGTCGTGGCCGCCGGAAAGACAAGGAATCAGAGTTCCAGTGGCTCCCCAGTCTTGTCCCAGAACTTGGACGGTGCTTCTTTTTATCGCAATGCATGCACTGACAAATATTTACCCCAAGCATTAATTAGAAAAGCAATTTAAACAATCGCCGGCCATCGGAGAGCCAGCGAGCGCTCTTCGATTAAAACTAATTGGCAAACAAACAAGTGGCGCAAAGCAAACCGAATGCGGTGCCTCTCCCTTCGCAGCAGAAAACTTAACAACAAGAGAGATTATATATACTTATGCGAATCGAACAAGAGAGCCCAGAGAGAGCATTATATATACAGTATGTCAAGAAACTGTTTACACACTGACAATTTAAAATATTTTTTGACTTTGCATGGAAAAATTACGCCTTTTTTTAAATGTTTTTGATTTTTTTTGAATGCACAACTAATAAATAGGGTATTTTTAATGAGTATGTACAAAAACAAAAACAAAACAACCAAAGGAACAGCTTCAAAGCAACAACAAATGAGTTTACACATTTTTGGCACTGTCAAGAAACTCTTTACACACTTTAGTTTTCCATTCTGTTTTGATCCTTCTTGAGAAAAAAACGGTACTTTATTGTTACCTATGCTTTTGCTCGCATCGACATGGATGCATTCTTTTCATTTTTTATTGTGAAATTTGCAAAGCACACATCAAAAAGCGACAATATCAATTTTTAAAAATGCCTGGAGCTAGATTGACCTTTGACGTGGTCCAGTTGGCTTATCTTAACCACCAACTTGGAAAATCTGCAGCTGAGTTGGCCGACATGTTTCGGGTATCCCGGAAAACTATTTACAATGTTTTAAATCGGGCTAAAATTGAAGGAAAGCTGGAAGAAAAGTCTGGAGGAGGTAGGAAGTTGAAGATAGACAAACGGGCAGAACTCCTTATCACGCGTAAGGTGCGTCATAACCCCCAAATCTGGATCAGAACCCTTGCCAAGGAGTTGGAGGAAGAATGTGGCGTAGTCGTTTCGCACGAAACCGTGCGCCAATTGATTCTACGGAACAAATACTCATCAAGAGTTGCGCAAAAGAAACCGCTGATATCCGTAGTAAACATTCAGAAGCGGTATTTTTTCGCTATGGAGATGATCAGTAAGCCGGAAAATTACTGGGATGACGTCATCTTTTGCGACGAAACTAAAATTATGTTATATTACAACGATGGTCCTTCCAGAGTATGGCGCAAGCCGTTAACCGCATTAAACCAGCGCAACATTGTGCCTACCGTAAAATTTGGCAAATTATCAGTTATGGTTTGGGGGTGTATAAGCAGCAAGGGAGTCGGGGAGCTCGCATTCATAGAAAACACTATGAATGCTGAGCAGTATCTCTCCATACTCCAATCTAATTTGAGACAGAGTGCTAAGAAATTTGGCTTAATGGACAAAGAAAAGCCGAAATTCAAATTTTACCAAGATAATGACCCCAAACATAAGGAGCAAACTTTGCGGCCATGGCTCCTGTATAACTGCCAAAAGGTTATAGATACACCTCCTCAGAGCCCTGACATGAACCCCATTGAAAATTTGTGGGTTCATTTAAAGAAAAAAGTGGCTAAAAGGCAACCGAGGAATCGAGCAGACCTCAAAACTGCAGTGCTGGAAGAGTGGCAGAGAATTCCATTGGAATTCTCTTGGAAAAGCTAATCAATTCCATGAAAAAACGCATCCAGCATGTAGTAAATGCTAAGGGGGAGCACACAAAGTACTAAAATTAATAAATTATTGTTTTAGTTGTTAAATATATCCTTTTAGCTGTACGTTTTGTATATTGTGTAAAGAGTTTCTTGACAGTGTCAAAAATGTGAAAAGTTATTTTTTATTAATTTTTTGTTAAATCTTAAATTGTTTTGTTTATGTTTTTGAATATTATCATTAAGAATTATCCAATAAATAGATATCCATTGAAAAAAATATTAAAAATCTTACTAAAAGCGTTATATTTGCATGCAACGTCAAAAAATATTTTAAATCTTCAGTGTGTAAACAGTTTCTTGACATACTGTATATATATATATATATATAGATGTGTAGGGAACTTGGCGACGCAGAAGTCGATTTAACTTCGATTCAATATTCCCACACTTCACTGGAGCAGGCCAATTAGCTGATAAATATATATGAAATATGCTCGTAATTTATCAGAATGTGATAAGGAAGTGAATGAATGGTTCGATTATTATTAGCCATCTATTCATAGCTCATTGTTTGTGTGCAAAGAGGAGAAGGGAAGGACGGAAGGCTATGTGTTTTTACTTCTCGATCCACGACCTTCCTTAATTTCTGTGTAATGTATGAGGGATTAATAATGTTTAGTTGTTATGGGTAACTTTAATGATATTAAATTAATTTCATTAAAACCTACATATTTTTTGAAACAAGGAAAGTAGCTAAGTTCGGAAAGCCAAAGTGTGTATTCCTTAGCAGTAAGCCATAGAATCACGGTTTCGAATGAAACTCTATCATAACTATATATTAAATCAATATTAAATCTATATTTTGACATGTTAATTTTTGGGGTAAATCACAGTTTTTGAAATAGCATAACTAAGCCAAAAATGCATAAATTTCAATTGGGATTGCGTTTCGATGCTAGTTTTTACAGGGTTAACAAATCTGCATACCTATTTTCGAAATATAAAAAATTCAATTTTTGATCAAATTTTGACAATTTTTTTTTTCAACCGGACTTGGCCAGATCGATTCTCCGCTTGATTCTTACCAAGAATATATAATATAATATATATAGGGCCGGAAATGACTCCTTCACTTCATTTTAAGCTTCTGACTGAAATTATAATACCAAAAGTCAGGGTCAGTTTTGAAACTGATATTTGAAATCAATATTCGTGAATAATGTATACTTAAGTAAGGCTTTTCACTTTGAGTCCACTTTTGTAGGTATCATAAATACAAATTCTTCAACTTTAATTAATAAATGCAGGGCTGATCCCATCAAGAGCATCTATATACATACATGATATAATTGTAATGGGAATGACTTACCGCAGTAGAGAATATCCGATTATATCCCTTTTCTTCATTGCTCATTGGTTCCTCCACTTTTCATGGCATCATCGACGTGGGCTGCTTCCTGGTTATCCAGATATATTGCGTTGATCAGGAGACATTTTTGGGTCAAGGGGCAATCACTACCACTTCCACTATCACTGGAGATGTTAACACTTGGGAGGCCGCAGACAGACTAAGGCGCGAGCGCCGGCTTGTGCCTGTATTTATACTCTCCGAGTGAAGAGAATAACAGAGAAAGTGAGGCGTGAGCACAACAGAGAAAGAGGCACCTGCATAGGCAGAGAGAGTAAGAGATCTATAGAAATACACAGAGCAAGAGAGAGAGAGGGAGAGGGACATCTATTTAATGATTATTTCTCCTGCAGCTATATGATATAGTCGTTCGATCTAGCCAGTTCCGACTTATAAACTAATGAGAGTACATACAATATAATCTCATTTAGATAGCTTTGAAAATAAGAGACTGTTTGGGTCAGATGATTATAATTCGGAAAACTGATCTATGCAAGTTTTTAGTAGATTAACACAGCTGCATACTCAGTTTTCAAATTTAAAAAAATATAATTTTTTGTCAAATTTTCGCAATTTTAATGATAACCCCTTATAAAATTTTCAATTTTCGAAAAAATTTCAAAATTTGGTTTTCTTACCGGACTTGACCGGATCGATTCTCCTGTTGATTCTGATCAAGAATTTATAGGGTCGGAAATGACTCCTTCTCTGCGTTTCAAGCTTCTGACTACCCTGCAATGGCTATAAAAATGTCAATAGATTACTTTGTCTAATAGGTTAAAAATAAATAAATTCCAAAAACTTTGTATCTTTAACGGACATCCATTATTTCACCTGATATTTAAAACTCTCCCGTACGTTCATTAAAAGCGATGCGTTTGTCTTGTAAATTGTTTTTTCACAAAATTTGCATTTTGACTGGCTCATCAAATTTTGGTTGGCTTTCACCGCCAGCCAGCCCGGCCTTAATTTAATTGCTCCGGCGTAGCAACGTTTTTAATTTACCTGATGGACAGCGCGAAACATGACCAATCGCTGCAACGTCACCGCCATTATCCTTGTCGCAGTCAGATCATCTCCTCATCAGCCGCACGCGGCGCAAAAAGTGTCCTGTGCGAAAATATTTAATTTATTTTAACTACGCACACTTTTTCAATTGTTTGCAGTGTTGAGTGCACTGCAATACAGTGCAGTGCAGTGCAGTGCCAGTGCATAAGATGCGATGATGATGATGATGATGATGATGGCTCATCAAAAACAAACAGACGATAGTGTGGAAAGGCCACAAAAGCAAACTGAATGCGAAAAAAATAAACAGGAATAATAAAAACATTGGAAAGCTGACACAAATGTTTCTTTATTTGCCATTGCACCGTGATTTTTGTTGTATCAAATTGGAGTTTTTTTCCTTAAATATAGTAAACATGGATGGTGCAGGGATTTATGTATAGCATGGCGCTGATGAAAATGACTCGCTGCATTGGTCGTGTTTACTGTTTGCTGAACAGTATTGTACGCCCCCCGCGTACTCTGGAGAGTGTGGTGCACAAAAAACATTAATTTGCATGCAAGTCAATTATCAGGAGGCAGCCAGCAGTCAGGTCCCAGTGGTTACTCGTTTCGAGTTATTTTTGCACCACAAAGAACATACTCTTGAAACCAAGTAAACAGAGAAGCGGAAAATGGGTAAAGGGGAAAAGCCCATCAGCTACGATCTGTTAGTCCTTTGGTAATTTCAAAATCGAATTTGATATTTGATTTTGCCATCATTCATGGAAATATTATTCCCATTTACATTCCCTGTTACTCATTTTCATTGTATTTCTGAAACTGAAAACAAATAGCCCAAATGCTAGACAGTTTTCAATCATCAAACGTCAGTAACAATCGAACCGAAATATTCATATTCATCCTACTGAATAGGGTATTGAATGACTCATTAGACCGGAGGCCTTTCAAAACTGACTGGTAAGCACATTTCTAAATGTTTTTATTAATTAAAAATATTGCAATATTGCATTTCGCATTTTCCCGATAAATACGGCACCTGTGAAAAATGTGCAAATGTAATTTTCAAAGCATACAGCAGCTCCTTTCACTTTAATAATTTCTTTTTTATTTCCGCTACATTTTGGTTTGCTCTATCGCCACTTGTGCAGAGCCAGGCAATCACTAGAAACTAGAAGTAGTCTTAATATTGCTTAAAGCCTTTAAGGATAACTAGCACTAAAACTAAACAATACTTTTGGGGGGCCAGTCTTGCGGCGGGATGGGCACAGTTTCATCTGCTCTTAATGGTCACCTCAAAGGTGGCACCCAAGTTGCGGCAGCAGAGGAACTCGCCGGATGCCCTAATCTCGGGCCAACTGCGCTGGAGTGACTGAACTGGGCCGAACCACTTGATGCCCTCGCCCTGAGCCTCGATAACAGCCTCAAAGTTTGACCGTCCTCCCAGTGGTGCTTGGTCCAGGTGCCACAGGAAGACGGCGTACTCCGTGTCGCTGGAGATCGGTATGACAGCCAAGAAAAATGGGTGCACCAGGTTCGAGTCCAGGTCCTCGCTCATCTTCAGACAGACCAAGCCCTCTTGGGGCGGCGGGGGATGCACGTACAGCCGCTGGCCGAACGTGCCGCAGAACTGGACCACGGCCAGGCGATGCTCTCCGCTGAGATGGCGCAGCAGCTGCCACTCCCGGTGCACTGCATCTAGCGCCTGATTTACGCCGGATGTCGCCGCCGCCGCCTGTTTATGGCTCCCCGCTGATAAGGCGCCGGTATCCGCTACCACTTCTGGTCCTGGTCTTGATCCTGCAACAGTGTGTCCCAACTGCAACGCGACTGTTGACAATTTGTTGGCCAACGGCTGCTGCTGCTTGTGGCTGCATGATTTCCCAGTGGGGCAATGATAATTCTGAAACTCGCTCTTCACCTGCTCGCCGGCAATGCGCTGTCCATTATTCGTGGTGGCGTCTCCATCGCACCGCAATCCGTCTTCATCTGGCCCCCCAATCCGCCAACTTTTCTTGCCAAACTTTAACTTTGGTTTAACGAGCATATTGTTGTGACCTTCCGCGAAAGTCTCGGGCTGGTTCTGCTGCACTTTTATCAGCGAACAGTGCTCCTTGCCCTGCCGGCTGCCACCGGATTCGTGGGCGACATTACTCGGAGGTCCCGATGCAGGTCCCTTTGGCATTGACTCCTCCGGAGCCTGCAGGACCGACTTGCCCAGCTTCTTGCCGGAATTCGACTTGGCCAACGCCATTTTCGGTTGATTATGATATTCATTTGTGCACTTGTTGACGCTGCTCAGTTTTTCATAGCCCTGGGCCGCAGTTACTTGGCTGGTTTTACCTGAAAACGAAACAAGAACGATGAGAATCCCGCAGGAATGAATTTGGAAATGTAAATATAATAAATGCAGGCAGGGCATCTATAGCTTTGGATTTTTCTGGCTTGCTACACTTAGAAAAAGTTAAGAAAGTTCTCTTATTGACAAATCAAAAAGAATAATTCGAAAATGTATTCTAATTGCAAAATTTTAGAGTACAAAATGTTCTTCCATTATTTTTTCAAGAATTTATAGAAGGTATGACCTAAGAAATATGAAAAACTATATGATTATATATCATATTTTATATATTTATTTTAGAAAATCTATTTATTTGTTATTCAAGTGCAGTACGCACTATTCCTGATGGCCTTTAGTTTTGCAAGTTTTTCCTGTCGCTGGAATTGTCCATTTTCGCTCGTTAGAGCTTTTGCCCCCTTGACAGCAACTGCACAGAAGTTCAAGTGGCAAATGAAAATGGAAGAAAGTACATAATTCCTTAAGTACACAGCTACATATAAATATGAGCTAAGAAAATCTCAGCAAAAACATAAAGAATGCACACTTAATGTGGAAGCAATAAAAACCTACTAAGCACGGAATAAGCTAGGAAAAACAACGCAAGATGAATCCCCCCAAGTGCGGGAAAAGTGGCAAAAAATGAAGACCAACAAGTAAAAACAAAACAAATGCAGACAACGAGGAAATTCTTGTGCTTGTTACCTTCGCTGTAAACTTCACTCCAAGTTAAGTTGGCGGACACAGATTGAAAATGGCAACGAGGCGGCTAAACTTTAAACGAGGCTCCGAGCAGAGGGCCTTGTAACGCAATGCCGGCAAGATGGCAACGGCATAAAGCGCGAAAAACTTTAGCAATTTATGTTACATAATTATGCTATAAAAAGAACAACAAGGGAAGATGAGCCATTGCGCTCAATTTCAAGCACTCTTGACTCGGCTCCGCTTTCTGTTCGCATTTTTCTTTCATTTGCGCCGCCCTCGGTTGAGATTTAAGTGAAACATTGACACTTGTCGTTGCAGAAAACTTTTTTGGCCCAAGTAAATGATGTCTCAGAGTCTTGAGACCAGGCCCAAGATGTTGCCAATGGTGAGTATAAGAAGTACAGAGAAGTACAGAGGCGAAATCATATATCAGGGGGGAGGCTTGTAATTAAAAATGGTTTTGTCGACAAAGTTGAATAATTTAAATTTCCATATCATAACTAGAGATTCAGGAAAATGTTTTCTCATCCTTGTAGTTTTGATTACATACAGGGGACGCTGATGTTTTGAGCTCTATTTGCCATGAAAATGTAACAAATTTCAATATTTCTCTTGTATTGAATATCAAATCAAATATCCTAAACAACATGTTATTAAATATATTCCAATATCAACTTTAAACTTGAGTTTAGAAGAACTTATGTAGACAACTGCCAGAATCTAACAGAACCAGCCTAATGAAAACACTAATTTGGGATTCGTTTCGCCTGGATTGAATAGATAAAAGCCACTACATATACTTGCAGATTGGGTGCACTTACCGCCGTCGCAGGGAAAACTCTCCGCCAGCAGGGTGAATAATTTGTCCGACAGCAGACAGCGTCCTCGCGGTCCTAGGGGAACCCGGCACACAGGACACTTCACGGAGCGACTGCGGCAATTATTGCAGAGAACGTGTCCGTTGCAGCACTGCCAGCCAGGTGGCTTGATGACCTGGTTTCCAGTTGAGAGGGGGCAAAGAGTACGTGTAATTATTCAGAGAGGGAATCATTTCAATTAATTATACATATCGTGACCATCGAACCCACACAGCCACAGGAGGCAGTGCCTCGCCCCTGATTGCTTCATTATGATATTTCGAATTGGATTTAAACAAAAACCAATTCCGAGTCCTTGTCGTAAGTAATGCACAAATGGCAAGTAAATTTGATTATTTCTCACATTTGAATCTCCTTTGGCTTTTCCTCGGGGAGAGCCAGCTCCTTACTTGCATCTGCTTCTATTTCTCCTCTCGAATGTATGTACATGGATGCATATAAAAAATGTATTATATTGGGAAGCATTGTGCGCAGCAAGCTTTCCATTTAAATTGTAAATCAAATTGAAAATATTGCAAGCGGATTTAAAATAATACAACTGTGTTTGATGCGCGCCCAAATACTTTTGCGCATTTGAAGCTGGCCCTTACAAAAGCACAAAAACTGGGGCAAAAACACAAATACAAAATGCAGAAATACGGAAATACGGAAATACAAAAATACAGAAATATAAAAATGCGAACACGAAAAACGTTCTCAATCGGATAGACTGATGGACTGGGGGGAATATAACATACATACATATGTACACCGAAATTTGGCTGATGCTTTTTGTCTCTCCTCAATCGATGTGCAGACAAACATAAATTTGCTACGTTCAGAATAAAGAAACAATTTCTGGTCGGCAGATTTCATACTTTTTGCAACGATTTGGCAGAACTGCAATCGAAGTATTACAAATGTAAAACCATTCGATGGCAATCTGACCAAACGATACAAAAAGAAACACCAAGATAAAGGACTCTGGCCACCATTGAAAATCGAAAATACATATGAACTCACTTTCCACCATATATATGTATGTGCATATATGTGTAAGAGATTTACGTGGGAAATAAGGCAGGGATTTAAGTGACGTTGCACGTGTGGCAAACGTTCTAAATGTTATTCGTCTTTTATTGTTTTTAATTGGCTTAAATGGTATGAGCAAATGCTTTTAATTTTAATACCCTTGCATGCATAAACAAAGACTCCAATTAGTGATAGAAATCAATTAAATGCAGCTGAGCGAAAACAATGTGGGGTTGGCTGAAGGTGGAACAGGAACTGTCAGAGGAAGCGGAAATGGCCAAAGACGAATGTGGATGCCCCACTTCCGACAGCGGCAGCTGTCGAAGGCGGCGTTGCATGCTTTTAGGCATATTGTAAAATATCATTTCGTCCGATGGCAACCATACCGATTTAATTCGATTGCCAAACTTCGCCTGCCAGTTTATATTAACGAAAAGCCCGCCGGGCCAAGGCCGATCGAGTGCAACCAAAATGAATTAATCATATTGTGCTAACATTGGCCATGCCTGCCTTAGTAAGCCATTTGTTTGCCGAATTTATGAAAATTAAATGGCTTGCCAATTTATGCATATTTAAATGAAACAAAACAATCTCATGCCCGATTTAATGTCAAACAAGGAAAAGCTCTGGCAAATCTTTATCCGAATGGACGGAGCCTAATGCAGGCGATTAGCATTCAAGGGAATCGGGATGCGCAACTGTTAAAACTCCAGCAAAACAAAATCCCTTAATAACTTAATGGACTTGTGTGTGTTTGCATACACACTTTTGTATGTATGTATGAGAAAAGGACATGAACAACACACTAGAAATACGTTCATAATACAATATAATGCCATCTCCGTGCCACAGTAATAATGGCAAAATCAGAAGGACTCTCCGGCAACTAAGCCGTAGGGCGAGGAGAGTGAGAACGAGAAGGAGTAGTATCCGGCATAAACTGATTTCGGGTTAATAAACAAATTATTCAGTGCAGCTGCAAAAGGAGTTTCAAGCTGCTCTGTGGCCAGCTTCCAGCTTCCAGCTCCGAAGGCGTTGCACCGTGGCCATATCTAGGATATCTCCGGAATCTGCCATGTCCTTGCTCCTGCTGCTGCTGCTGCTGCCGCCTGCACATGCTTAATTTATGGTTACACACCAACACTCCAAAGAGATATGCTGCTGCTGCTGCTGCTGCTATGGCAGCTCCAGGCGAGAATTTCATTTGAAAATACTCGTAGCTCGTAGTTCTGCATTTTGAATGGAGGTCGACTCCCCGCTCACCGGCTCGGACCAGTCGTCCGCTCACTCTTCTTTATCTTGTCTAATTAATTAAATTTATGTTTTTGCTGACAAGCCGGGCATAAATAAATTTAAAGCCCAGCCCTCGTCACCGACTTCAATTTAAATGCACAACGAGCTAGGGGGCTACCACGGAGAGCATCGCATCAGCAAAAACAGAAGCTGCCCGCAGGCGATTGACACGATTATTCACACTGACTTCCGCTGCCGCTCACTCTAATCGTCAATATTTGATTTTTAAACGACATAATCAATCACACTGCCCGTGCTATGTGTACATATATATATATATATTTTGCAAAACTAATCAAATCACATGCCAGAGCAAACATTTATCAAAAACCTACTCGAAATATAGGACAAAATAAAACTGGCATCAGGCCGAAAAAAAATAAAAAGAAGGACCAAAAAGGAACATAACCGACGGCTATTAACTGGCTGCATGGAAAGCTGGCTGGATCGGGACATGTGCGTCGTTTGAGTAATTGAGTCAACAAGGCCGGCATACCTGCCTCCATGGAGGCGAGGGGCAGTCAGGGGATGATATCCTGACGAGGGCACGCAATCACTGGCAGCCCGGTGCTCCAAACTTTCTATATATCCAGAATATATATATGTTCATATAAATATATACTCGTAGTAGAAGTACAGTCAAGTGATTAGCAACAAACTTGCGCAGCAAAATCAACGCAGGCCGGGAAGAGGATGGCGCTGCGATTGGGACTTTAAATGCCACTGCACAGAGAGAAACTGAGCATCGAAAAGGATCTTAAATATCTAGGATCTAGTTTCCATTTCTAATATATCCCTAAACTTCGAAATCATTGTAACTTGCAACTGATTATATAGTAAATAAACTATTATACTGATTCCACAAAATGCTTAGCCAAAGTTTCCTATACGTAGATTTAGAACAAATGCTTATGATGACTATGAAAGGTACTTAATATCTACAATTCCTCAACAAGAAATAAGAAAGAAAACTAACTTTAAGGAGTCGAAGTTTATATACTCCAGCAGTTTGCAGTTGAAATTTAATGATAGAATCGGAAATCGATCATAGCTCAGCTTAAAATATTCCCGTTTTCTCGAATCGTTTCTTATTGATGTTTTTATATGACAACTTTTACGGCAAATCAAGATTTAAATATCTCATAACTAAGTCAAAAATGCATTAATTTCAATTCGGAAATCGCTCCTCTGTTAGTTTTTGTTAGGTTAAAAAATCTGCATACTCAGTTTCAAATTTAAAGAAAACCAATTTTTTTTCAATTTTTTTGACTATTTGAATGATGTAACACCTTATAAAATTTTCAAATTTCGAACAAATTTTGAAAATTGATTTTTCGACCGGACATGGCAAAATCGATTGTGCTATTGATGCTGATCAAGAACAAGTATGATTTGTAGGTTCGAAAACGACTTCTTCACATAATTACAAGCTTCTGACTAAAATTATGATACCCTGCAAGAATAATGAATGTTACTGTTTATTTTCTCTCAATGTAAGATGGATGGCAGCGGCTGGCTCGAAGGCAAACAAACGACCAACTGGCCAACTAAGTTTTTGGCCGAGTTCGGGCCCAGCCGAGTTAGATAATGACGAACTAAAACTAAGGCCGACCCGGCCAGCCTCATCGATATGCAATGCACATGCATCCCAATCCCATCCCAATCTCCCGCATCCCATCACTCCAAGGACCACCGCAGTCCGTCCCGCATCGTCCACTCACCTCGAGGCACACAGGACACTCCAGTAATTGGGAAATATGTTGCAGGCATGTTGCAAACTTTTGCAGCGATTGTTGATTAATTCCATGCTGCTGCAAATACAAAGAGAGAAAGCGGGGAAAGCGCTGGTTAATTTGAGGGCTTCTGGTTTCTGTTCAAGGTTAAACGGTTAAACACTTCTCGGGGATTCAATCAATTAAATCTGACGCCTGCACTTAATTGTATTTAAATTTTCGGCGAGCCGCACTTTCGATGCTGCGTCGTAAATAATTCACACAAGAGTGCCCATGAAAGGTACCGGACTTAAGCTGATTTCCATTTAATTTGCATTCGATCATCAAAACGAACCAAGCGAGCGGCGAGCCATATAACATGTTCAAAATGCCATCGAAAGGACCGCCTGCATTTGGAAGACACATTACGTCCTATGCCTGATTGCGGTTGCAAGTTTAATCTGTTTAACGGGTCAGATCCGAGCACACTCACACACACACACACACATAAACCGAGTGGCACAACACACTCTGTGATGCACAGCCTTCGGCATTGATTGAAATGGACTTTCCATGCCAACCACCTGTGCCAGGTGTCCGAGTGTCCCTGAGCCTGTCAGTCCATCTGTCCGTCTGTCCGCGTGTGTGTCCTGCTTAAATTTTCGACTCTGCCACGGCAAGGACATTTAGGTCAATTGAATTGTAATAAAGTACACATAATGTGTCAAGAACGGAATTACGTTAGTTCGATTCAATTGAATTTAATAAAATAAACAGTTCGTAGGTCGTCAGATAAACAATTTACCACGACGCTCGATATTGACATCTGCACGGAAGAACACCTCGGGCTAAGCTTTGGGGCTTAAGTTACCTCAACTGGGGCATTGGGATGGACATTAGGTTTAGATTAATTCACGGCCAGCATATAGTTTTTGTTTGCATTAAAATTACTTGTGTTGTTGGATCATAAAATTGAAGACGAAAAATCGAAATTCAGGGATTACTGTTCCCTAAGTTACCTAGCAATATTGTTGCATAGAATAATATATTTATATTTCTTTAAATGACAAGCAGAACTAGCAAAATAAAATCAAAATCTGTTTCACTAGAAACTAATTGAGGTCCACTCGGACTGAAATCGCACAGCAACTCTCATATGTTCGCATTTTAGCTTACGTAAATAGCATTTGATGGCCATTCAATGGATTACGTGTGGTTATGGATGAATTAGTAGCTAAAGACTAATTTTGCGATTTTCTTGAGAGAAACCTTGGCGCTGAGAAACTATATAGTCGATGCAGTGGTGGTGAGCCCACAAAGCCAGTAGACCAAGCTGCAGCGTCTAATTACTGGCAGCAACAACAGCCATTAAGCCAATCAGCATTATGTAACGCTCAGCGGCACACGAACAACGGTGTGGTGCCGCACATTCATGTGTGACACTGGCCCATTTAGCCATCATTCCGAGCACTGCAAACCAATTAGCCGCCTGGCTAAAGTCAGAAAGCCAGAAGTGGATCACATATTGGAGGAAAAGGTGGCACTAAGATCGATTTTGCCTTAGAGGTGTCGATTTGTACAATTTTGAGGAAAGATATATAAACATATAAATATCAATTCCATATATTCATTTTAACTTAAACACAATGGCAATGACTTACCACAGCATGGGCTGCCTCCGCGGGATCCTCATTTGGAGAAATGCTCGCCTGTTGGCGCCACATCATCAGGGTCACATGCTCGGCTCCGCTCTGCCAGTGCTCCTGCAGCCATCCTGCCAGCTCACTGATCCTTAGACCCAGGACATCGGCTCCATTGAGCTCTAGCAGTGTATCGCCCAGCCGGACTCCGCCAAGCTCCGCATTCGATTTCGCTTGCACCCCGCTGACCCATGGATATGGATCCCAGGGGGCACGACTCAGATTCAGGCCGAGGGTCCCGTTGGCGCAGGCGTAGATGGTGCACAGCTGTAGCATGGTGGCTGCAAGAGGAGGCAAGGCATACAAATTAAATCAGGCATTTCTTCAAGGCCGCACGTCGCCGGCATTTCATGCAATTTATGTCACACACACAAGCACCCTGTTTTGGCCAACATAAATTTGGCCAATTTTCAACACTTGAGGCGTCTGCCAGACACATCTAATTACCTGGCCTAACGCACACACACCCATACACACACTCCCCGACGGAAGGTGACTGTGAAAAACGGTGGCAAACTGTTTTACTTGGCCTACTCTGCAGACTTGACTTGGCATGCCCATCACGTAGCCACTCGCATCTATTATGCGTGAGTATGTGATTGGGGCAACCGCTGTCCCCAGATTTCGGCACTTGACTCATTTGCACCTTTCTAAGGGCTATTCTTTTACCTTTCGGCAGGTGCCTTTCGAGTTGCCTCGAAGCCCAATTAATTAGCTAGGTTTTCGGGGCCCAGAAAGTTTTGCGCCAAGTGGTCGTAATTACGCATACGCCACGTTCGCCGGGCGTAAAATTCGCTCACATAAATCAAAAGTTTGAGCACCTCACTCTGCCTCTTAGAAAGAAAGAAAGAAAAGGGTTTGTTGAAAAGTTTTAAGCACTAGCGAAAATCAATTAAGCACCACCAGCCGGAACTCGACATCGGGTATCGAGTACCATATATAAACCAGCTTTAGAGAACCCAGCTGTTCTGCCAACTGGATTCTTTCGCTTAGTCACTGGCATTGTCATTCCCAATCGAAGTCGATGTTGATGCCAATGGATTGCGTCAGATTCTTGGGGGCTGTCAGCTTAGAAGATTCTTCTCAGCCGGGAAATTGATTATGTTGCTTACGCGCCAAGCCTCGAGTAGATGGAGAACCCATTTGCTGTCTACGCACGCGGATACAGATACGAGTACGAGTACGACTACAAGTGCGAGTGCGAGTACGGCAAACTTGTTCAAATCACTTCAATTCACTTCACTTCTGGCTGACATTGGCCATGAATTTGCTATGACGTCGACCAAGTGAAGTGGGCATAGCGGAAAGTAAATAAGTTATTGAACAATAATTCGAACTAGGGCTGCGTCGGCAATTAAAAGCGATTGATACTCGGCTGGCCATCATTGAATTATGGCTTACAACTTTTTTTTCAAGCATCAAGCATCTCCCCTGTAAGGGCAATTAAGAGCCCGATTTAATTATTTTTCAAAGCCGCACAAATTAGTTAAAGCTGCTGCACCCACTAATAAAATAAAGAAAAAACAGCAGCAGAGACGGAAAACCACCAACCGCAGCAGCGGCGGCGGCGGCGCACAGGAACAATTTGCGGACCATTGTTTTGGCCAAAGTCAATGAAGCGCGGCACTTGGCAAACAATTACGAAACGAAAAACCAACAGAGGGCTGCCCCTGGTAACGCTCCAATTAAGGTCCGGCTCTTTAAGGCCTTGCTGCAATATTTATACCGTAATTGTTTTAACTCTATCTGAAACAGTTTTCTCGATCGGAAGCCAACTGAGCTTCGGCGCGTGTGAATTGCAACTGACTGCATTCGAGCGGGTGCAGCAACCAGAAACCTGCCACTGGCCCGCTTTCGTTTTCAGTGTACGCAGGAGAGGTGGCTAAAAACGAAGCTTGGCTAAAACAAACTCACACGGAATTGCGTCACAATTACACACGAAAGAAACCGCAAGCGAATCGCATGGAGACGGAGACGCCAACGGGGACAGAGACAGAGACCCAGAAACCCCAAAGCGGGCAAACTGTTGCGCATGCGCCATTGAAGCGCTCGTCCCGCTGCAGCCTGTTCCCCGTTCCACACTCTCTGGGCACTATGTAGTACCATACAATTAGCAGCCTGAGAGCTGACGCTGCCGTGTAAATTCCAAGTCGAACGTGAGTCTCCAGTTTTTATTTTGCCTCTGTTTTCATTTCGCAAGCATTGCGCATGCGTATGATTTACGGGCCGTATATGTAGTATATGCACTGCTCTTGGCGCGTTTCTAATTGAATTTTGCCTGACAGCATAGGAAACGATAATTCAGCTAGAAACAAACTCGTTTTGCGGTCTTAATTACGCGAATAACCAGTAAATGCGTTAATAATTGTGCGTTACACTTCCGCGTTTTTTGGTATTTCATTTAACTGTTGCTTTTTTGTTGTAGGTTTTTCTATTTTGAGTGGGGCTAATGTGCGGTGGCAGCCACCTTGACCTAAGCCAACGTTAACCAACTTGGCTTGGACAACATTAAGGCAACTTAGGGCTCTGGGTGAGCGTAAGGTCGTTTGGGCCATTATAGCCATTAGGCCTCGCACGGTTTGTTAACAATTACACACCGTTTTTTTTTTTATTTTGTGTGGGTTTGGGCTTTGGCTCGCTGGGAAATCAATTTTCACAACTCTCCGCTCCGCTTGGCGGCTCTTAACTCAATCCAATGGCTTTTCCTAGGCGCCGGCGCAACGCACTTCGCGATTGACTGCGGAACTTGCGGCGCTTGCGCACTGTCTGCGAGTTGGTAAGAAACTGCCGCGCGGCGTCTGCACAGCTGACCAACAGACCTAAACTTGGCTTAAACTGGCTAAGCAGAGCGCCACCTTTTGACGAAGCTTGGAACTGAGTGGAAGAGAGCTTTTGAACTGTTTTTTTTTTTTCAAACCAGTTGGTTATAAACAATTGTGGGATCACTTAAGCACTGTTTAAACCGGACACCACTGACACATCTTGTTGGAACTGCACATTAATACTTATGATATCTGTCTAAGCATTACATTTGTATGACTCTTTAAGGATTTAACAAATCTATGAAATAATTATATACGAGGTATATAGAATAATCACAAAAATGCATGGTACGTACAATAAGTCTACCAAATACAAATTCAAATTGCATGTATGGAATGGGAATTTAAAAGCTCCCGGCAGAGCGTTTACACAGTACTTAAGCTATTATGAAGAGCAAGCGGAATCGGTTGCGTGATTGCACTTGAATTTGGCCATTTGCCTTTGGGCCAGGCCTAATTGCTGACCGATTAATAAAAGTCAATTGCCTCGGCGGTTCAAGGGGGCGTGGGCGCTTTAGGAAACATGAAATTTGATGTTATTGGCTGCGTAAGTATTTGGTAATTTTGACACCGCTGACGGCTGTCGGCTGCCGTCCGCTTCTGTGGGCCACTTTATGCCAACCGCCGGCCGCACTCGCAACCAATTGCACAAATAAATTCAACCAAATCTAATTGAACTCGCAAATTGAAAAGCCAAAACGAAATCACACACACAGCAGTGCTGCCCAGGGTCAGTTAGCTGGGCTCACAAATTTAATGAAATTGCCAATTTCAATGCTATTTCGGCGCTGGAAACAGAAATTACCTCTTCAATGGCAGTTAGCCCTGGTAGGCGGAACACAACAAAAAAGCGAAAGTCAAATGGGCCAACGAGGCTTTTGGGAGCTAGCAAATGCCAAATCCATTTGTCAGCTGCCAATTTCCATCAGTTATCATTGTTAGGGTTAATGGACGAGCAGGTTTAGGCCCGGTATTTATTTAGGGCCCCATTGTTTGTGTTTATCGCGGTCCGACACCTTCATGCAGTGCCACGTTTGTTGGTTTAATTTCTTCGGTATTTCAAATAATAATATTTTGCTCCACTGGTGTTTGCAGGCCATTGACAATGCAGTGCCATTTGGCACTGGCCACACGCAATTAAGCTGAAAAATAATGCTGTTTATTTTGAAATTTAATTACAGAGTCGCGAAAACTTTTAAAATAAATAAAGCGGAATTAAACTGATTAAGTTCCATTAATGTACATCGAAAGCTAAATTGTGCGGTTTTATCTGATTAAAAACTATTTAGGGCGTAATAGCTTAAATATACAGTAAAGATGTACAAGAGTAAAGATGTATAGCAATTCCGGTAAAATGTATATTTTATATGATTTTTGTGTAATTTAAGATATGTTAGTTTACTTATCGTAAACTCTTTATTTCTTTTAGCTTTTTAAACTTTTGATTAATAAAATAAACACTTAAACCTGCTCTCCAACAACAAACTTGTAAATAAATCAATATAAATATTAAACAGAAATGTTTAATTACAAAAAACTACGTGGAACAGCGATTCTAGAATACTATATTATTATATATATTGATTTATTTCTGAAATATTTACTTTATACTTATTATACCCTGCTGAATATTATAGTTTAAGTCAGAAGCATCAAACTTAGTGAAGCAATCGTTTCCGACCCTATAAATCATATATATTCTTGATCAGCATCAACAGGGTAATCGTTCTAGCTATCTCTAACAGCAAAACAGAATTTTCAAAAATGTTCAATTTAAATAAAAAAAAAAGGAAAGAGGTCACATGATTAAAATTCTCAAAAATTTACAAAAAAATTGATATCTTTAAATTTGAATCTGAGTATGCAGATTTATTAACCTAACAAAAACTAAGATAGGAACGCTTTTCGAATTTGGCTTAGTTATGATTAGTTATTAAAATTGGTTTGTCATAATTTCTATAAAAATCGATTTATATAAATAAATACTGCAGGTCTTCTTGGGGGCATAAGATGAATGCCAAAATCATATATACTCCAATTTTTTATTAAACTACCAAACTTTTTAATAGATTGCTTAATATGTTTCCTCTACTGACGTAGACCTGTGACTTTGTAGCGCACCCAAATGAGGCAGTGACTGAACCCACTCCAAGGCAGAGTTCAAATATTTACTTAGCAAGCGCTCTTGCCAGAGTTCCATGCCCACAACTGGCTGTCAGCACAGCTCCGAATCTGGCCCTGGTCGTAGCCACATTTTGGCACCGACAACTTACAACACAGCTGAGATCAAGACAGATCGCGGATAGCGGATAGCGGACAGCGGATGGCCCAATGTGGCCGAGGGGCGAGGGGTCGATAGGTGAGGCTGCAGAGCTCCGAGCTGTAAACGCGGCCAAAAGCTGAGGCCAAAATGTTTGTCGTTGCCTATTGCGTCGGCCCAAAGCGCTGAGCTTCGCTATCGGCGCTCGGCAACTTTTCACACACAGAGAGACGGCGCTGGGAGCCAGCTGAAAAAAAATAAAACACACATGAAAACAGTTTGCCAAGCGAGAGCGCCCGTGGAGCACGTTTCTCGCCAGCGGTATTTAATTTTTTGACGGTTCCTATCCCCGAGTTTTTCCAACAACACACAATGAGAAAATCATCGAGAGGATTTCAGGCAGTGCGTCCCAACGAATGCGAATCGGAAGAAGCTCCAGCCGGAGATGGAGCCACCTCCTCCGCGGTGCGCCTGCTGAGGATTCCCCGGGCAGCGCCCGGCATCGACCACTATGGATTCCATCTGACCCGCAGCAAATGGGACCCCTATCCCTGGGTAACAAAGTAGCCACCTTGTTGCCCCCGCCCAGCTAATATCCCACACCACTCACAGGTATGCGAGGTGGCACCTGGCACACCTGCCGCACTCTCCGGCCTCAGGCCTGGCGACTGTGTTCTGGAGGTGAGTTCACCGTACTGAGTATTTGCTGCACATGGGTTCGATTTGCCATATGTGGAAAAAGAACGCTGCACAATGCACTCTGTTGGCCATAACTCCAAGACGATCCTATGCATAATAATATGGGGGATTAAAGTACAGGAAAAACTTTAATTAAGTGAATGTCAACTTATCAAAATATATTTTAAGACCCTTATCCCAAAGCTCTAGACTTTGATATTTCGAATTTCAAGACTATGTTCTTTTGGTAAACCACAAATAATCAAGCTCAAAGTGGATTGTCTTGTGAACTATAGAAAAACGAGTTTTATGGAAATCAAAAATTCGTTAAGTTCAAGTTACGAAAAAAGTTGCTTTGGGGATGAACAATGGAAGTTGGACTGTAGATCGGCTCCCGGACATTTTGTTCTTAGTGGATATATTGCCTGCTTAAAATAGCAATGCGGTAAACTTAATTGCATTTAATCATCTTTACTCAGTGCTTTTCGAGGGCGATGAGTGAGGAAGGAACACATGTTGTGGAATTAGAAACAGACCTACAAGAGCCGCAATACTCGGGTATTATTAGTAGTCGAGAAAAAGATTAATTAGCTCTTAGTAAACAATACAAAAATAAACAAAAGCTAACGACTTGCAGCCGGTTAACAGCTTTATTGGCTAACAGAGTGAAAAGTTGGCTAACATCCGAAAGCAGTTCGTGTGCCGGCAAGCAGTTAAAGCCAAGCACTGCTTGGAGTTTTAAAATCTATCTAAGTATCTTAATCTTTTAAGTGCGTTTTCCTCATTGTTTTTATGGTTTAAATAAGTATGTCAAGGTTACTGTGGCTAAACAGAGTTCACCTTATCGCGTAACTGTTGAATGAACCAAGTTATAGTGGTCATATAAATCATTAAAACTTTAATTACAGGTCAATGGCAACGACGTACTGGGCTTGAGAGTATCTGAAGTGGCCCAAATAGTGAAGAGCCAGGAGGATTGCGTTACGATGCTTTGCTGGAGCAGTGTTTGCGAAAAGGAGTGCGATAAGAATGTAAGGAAAGGAACCTATCCTAACATAAACTCCTAGTTAAACTGACCTTGTGTCTCTTATGTTGTTTCAATTTCCTCCAGAGCATCTGCTGCGCCCCCATGCCCACCAGCCTGCGTCGCCTCTCCCTCGTCCTGGAGAGCATCCTCCGGCTGATTGAGTGTCCTGTATGCAGCATCACCATCGCTCCACCTGCAATGCAGTGCCAGAACGGCCACCTGGTCTGCGTGGACTGTCGCATCCGCTCCGAACGTTGTCCCGTCTGCCGGGACTTTTATACGCCAAGCCGGGCTCTATTGGCGGAGCAGATTTACCTGACCATTGTCAATGCGTTCGAGATGTGCCGCCAGGAGAACAAGCTCCGACAGAAGCTCTTTTCCGGGATCACGCGACCTGTCCCCAGCCCCACGCTGGCCGAAAGGACAGCCCAGCTAATGGGGAAGGACTCTTGGCGGAAACGCAAGCCCGTTTTGCCAACGAACAGGTTCCTAACCAAGCTGCTCGAGGGCTACGCCTATTCCAAGGACAATCTTTCGCCCACGAACGCGGCCACCCTGCTGAGGACCAGTTCCAGGGATAGCCGCAGGCACTCCGGCGGAATCCAAGCGACAACTATGGACGCCCCGCCTGATGGGAATCCGGAGCCTGCGAATGATTTACGGTGCGAAGGAGTTGAGCCCAGCGCCGAGGGCGTTGACGAAGTCTCGCAATCGGAATCGGACAGCAGTCACAGCTCCTCTCTGGAGGAGCAGCTGCCACCGCCTGTCAGCGAACAGGCCGACCCGCCGCCTGCCACTCCTTGCCAAGGACAGCCGGAGCATGTTGATGCTGTCCAGGCTAAGCCGGTCTCCGTGACCGCTCTCTGCCGCTGTCCCTGTGGGATGGAGCCACAGGGTGAGGGGCAGGCGATGCACCAGAACTGCTGCTACAAATCCGCTTTCCGTTTGCTTTGAGTCCCAGCATCTCAATCAGCGGCATCCTCTTATCAGAGGAAGCCCCTGTCTCCCACCCATACTCCTACTGGTGCCGGCGGACTCTTACTAATTAAATTAAATGCCAGTTGCTTTGCCAAAGTTCCTTATCGCGAGAAGAAACGAACTGCGCAAAAGAATTGAATGGCTTTCCGCCCCGGACAAAGGCCGTGATGGAGATGCAAAGAAGTTGGTCCGGAGCTGGAGCACTCTGTCACTCAGAGTGAACTGCAGCCAAGAGTTGCTCCGGGGAAGCCGAGTTAAGTTTTAATTTAATCACTCCTGAACGCTTCAATGACTTTGTGTCATTTGGCGTCAGACTTGAGCAGCTCGATAATGAACCCGGGCAGTCCGGAATGTCAGAGCTATTTGATGCATGTTTTAGACTCCCACAGACAGAAATAATGTGCATCTTTACATTGGAAAAGGATGTTTTGCGAAACTATTTACTTTAACGAACGAAGTAGTAAGAGTTTAAGCATAAAAATAAATTGGTTCCAGTCTGTTTAAATATTTATATTGATAGCTATGAAAAGTAATTTAAAGCAGTTGCTTGGCTGATTTTCCAGTGCATCATTGCCAGTTATGAGTGCAGTCGCAGCCGCCAACCGCAGCTGTGGGTCAATCAGGAGCAAAGTGAAGGCTGCTGGACAAGTGCGTAATGAGCTTTATTTGTCATCCTGGCGGGCCTGGGACCAGAGGCCGGATAAGGAACAACTAAGGGAGCCAGAACGGGGTCGGAAAACCTGGCAACCTACGGCAACCATAATGACAGCCGCAGTTGGACGTCCATTATGGCAGCCATTTACCATTTAATATTGATGCAAGCTGGAAGCAAACAACGCCAGCAACAGGCGTTAGCTGTAGCTCCTCCTGCTTCTTTAGGCTCCTGCTCCTCATCCTCCTCCTCCTCCTCCTTTGGACAGCCAACCGCAGGCCATTCTTATCCGGGCAGATGCCTCCCGCTGCTCCGGCTGGCTGCTAGGAAAATGTCATCAAAACAGGAAGTGGCAGTTTAATTTAAGCGCGTTAATTGAATTTTATTTTCTGCATTGTTGATCGTCCGGACAAAGAGCTAGAGTCCAGGCGAAGACCAAGTCCGTATCCGGACTAGGTCCGGTTGCGAGTCCGATGCGGAAATTGATTTGCTGCTGCCACTGCTGCTCCAGCTCCTGGTGCTGCTCCTGCTGCATTGTGCTCGGTGTCCCGTGGCGCCGTCACCTGCCTGCCTCGGCAAACTTTAATTACAAACTTCTATGCGCCATTATGCAGTCGGCGGCTGCTGCTGGGAAACCAGTTTAAATTGCTGTTATTGTTGCACTTTGCGCCCGTCTTGCCGATGGTGCCTTGTGTGGGCCACACACTTTCTAATTGCATTTCATTATCTATTGGAAATTACAGCGATTTCGAGGGTCGATGATGGCACCGCTAATGGCAGCCGTAACAAGTGCTCCTCCACGTGAAACGCACCATGGCGCATTGCAATTAATTTCGCAATTCGCTGGCAAAAAAGAAATCGTTGCGACAAGTGTAGTGTTGCCTGCATAATTCTCCGGGCGGGGAAACCAGAACCAGGAGGACCCCCATCCATTGGTTGTTTAATTAATGTGAAGCACTCATTATCGAGTGCAATTTACCTTGGATAAACACGGGACTTGAAAACGTTAAAGCATCCATCGCTCCTTAACATTGTGAGCTTTCAATTTGCATCCAGGGGGCAGGGCAGAGCCAGCTTAAGTTCTCGGCTTGCATCAGAATAAACGGCACTTTGGGGCAAGTTTTTGGTCCCGGCTAAGTGGTAATGGCCAAAACAATAAATTCACTTTGGACCAAATTTCGCTGCCACGCCCACTTGGCAGTGGAGCAGTTGCCGCACCACCGGAGGTCACGTCAGTGTACCACACGGCGTATGAGTATGCGCGCGAAGGCAGTGCAAGAAAATATATATTGCATGCATAATTAGTATAAGATATTTAATAATTATCGATTTGGATATTTAAGATCTCTTACATAGACATAGGAAAAAAAAGACGGTTTCGTAATATATAAATCTACAATCGTACATTCAATTCGTTTTCTTCATAGCAACTGATCATCTAGATATTTAATGGTAAGGAAATGAAATTATATTATTTCGTCACTTTGCCAAAGGATTTCTCGCAGTGCAGCTTATCAGTCGACCGCAGGAGCAGTCTGTACACGTGTCTATGTGTGTGCGTATATATAGCTTAGCAACAATGTGACCGCCCCAAAGCGAAGGAAAGCGTGCAACAATTTGGAGAATCCTTCCCTTTTTGGCGGCGCAGCTGTTCCGTGTGCGGCCGCAACCTTAGAAACTTTCTAACGAGCATTTTGCAAGGCAAGGCAAGGCAGAGAGAGCCTCGAGGACTCGGAGGAGCCCCAGTCCTTTGTTGCTGCACGCCCTTGGTGGCTGTTATTGTTATTGTTTCTAGCTGCAAACAACATGTGCGGTTGTCATAAATTTAACGCCAAAAGAGCATTTTAAGCAGTCAGACAGAGTCCCCCTGGCAGAGGACTAAGTCCTCTAATTACTCCGAGGGAAAACTTTCGGCCATGATTCATGTGTGTGTGTGTGTGTGTGTGTGTGTGCCGCACCAGATGACTGAAAACTTTGACGAGCCAAGCCCCGGAGCTGGACCCGGCGTTAAATGCCGCCTGCAATATGCAGCCACTCTGCGTGCAAAGTATTTCCATATTTAAAATCGCATTCGAAACCAGCGGAGAACGCGGGGATTTTTAAAATGAAAATTATTTATTTAATTGAATATTTAAAAACGTGCTGTAGCCGTCGTTTATTGCATTAGTCGCACTACGGAGGCGCACTGTAAAATATGCTGCATATCCGTCTGATTTATTCAATTTTTTTCCCCATTATAAATATGTGTGTGTATATACATTTTTGATTTTACTCGCGAGCGCACGCAGTGCTTCTGGTCCCTGGAAAGAAACTTAATTATGGTTTGAGCGACGTCGCAAGAGCCTGATTAAATTAAAATGAATATGAATTGCATTCGCACTCGCAGTCGCATGGCCAGCGCCTGTAAATAGGCAACAAAGCGACAGGAGAGTGACACATTTCACACTGGGATTGATTTAATTGAAACATCGAACAGACAGCAAGAAAAGGCCTTAATCGAAAAACCGGTAAAAGGATTTACCCTTGAATTTGTGGTCTGAGAGCCACGACGACCCCTATAATTTGCAGGCCGCAAAGATACATTGCCACACCATCAGCACCACAGGCAGCAGCCTTGGAAATTAAAAATTAAAATTCCATTGATTAGAAAATTGTAAATGCATGGAATTTTAGGATATCGCTGTGTGGCAATCTTTCGATTTGCATAATTGCGGACCAAACCGAACCGAGCTCAAAACCGTCGCAACGCACCGAAAATCTGGGAGGGATGCAGATGCTTATCGGGCTGTAACTTTGCACTGCCCCTTGGCCATGCTCTCCTGTCCACCACTCCGCCACCAAAACAAACGCGGTGTGGCGGCCCATAAATATCAAAAATTCTAACACATGGTTGGGGCTACTGGTCCGGGTCCTGGTCCTAGTCCTAGTCCTGCTCCTAGCCTGCCTGCAGGTGTGAGAACCTGCGAACCTGTTCGCTTTTTGCATCCCTCCCAACGCTAGGGGGTGTTTTTAATTAAAATAAAAACGAACGGCAGCGCAAAGGCTGCAATGGCAATGCCACATAATTGTCGAATTGTTGCCACTTGCCACGCGTTGCTGCTGCATTTGGAGGCGTGGCTGCCGCCCGGAATGGGGCGTTTGCTGATTAACAAAAATAAATTGTGAGCCCCCCGACTTTGGCATAACAATTACTCCACCACATGCGGGCTTGGCAATGGCCATTTTCATAAAACTCCAACGCCACCACCGATTCTCTGTCTGTGCTTTTTGTTTTCCCAATGTTTTCGTTGAGCTTGTAAATATTTAGCGTGTACTGGCCGGACAATTTCTGCCCTGCCCTTTAATCCTAAAAGCAAAAAATGCATTTTTGGGTTCAACTGAAAACCGGAACGAGAGAGAGCCAATGGCCACTTGTAGCCCTCAGCAGGCAGTCTGTGCACTTATTCAGATGCCCAGTAAAAGGGGGATACTAAGGGATATATGAATTTTAAGATTATTGGTAATATCCTAAGCCTGAAAAATAAATGAATTAATTAAACTTAAGATACTTATATGATAATACAAATTATATGAAATAAGTAGTTATATGAAATGACTCTTGCATAGGGGTATCTTCCTGGCGATTCCTCTAGGATATCCCAAATTATTTGGAAGTCAGGGGGTGAATCCTATAGGAAGTGAGCAAGCAAAAAGTCAAAATCATGCCTTTGCTCATGTTTTATGTGGTATATTCCGTTGTGTTCTGCCAGGCTGCTTTTAATTGCTTTACATTTTTGTTGTTTATTTTGTTGTCCTGCTGCTGTCCCTGTTGTGCCGCGTATATGGTGTGTGTGTTTGTGTGTGTGCTCCTCTGTCTGTGTTTGCGGGCTGTAATGAAGACCATGTCGGGCTGCATATTAACTGGCGCACTTGCAGCATTTTTAAATGCATGTGCATACCCCGGGCCGGGCCAGAGCAGCCATCCCAAAAGCCCCAAACCCGCCCTAAGCATTTTAGGGCTGTAGTTTAACAGCGAAAACAGAAAAGGCGGAAGGGAAACAGAGGGGCTGGGTTTCATTGTCTGTCATAAGCATAAATGGTTATTAATATTAAAGTTCATAACGGGCAATGTTAACTGCTCATTTAACGGGGTTATGCTTCTGGCCACTTTATTTTTGCCTGACTGACTCCGCCTCCGCCTCCGCCACAGACTCTGGACTCTGCCTCTGCCCATTGATATGTTGGCAGTTGTTTACACATTAACAGCCCGCTGTGTGCCATGGCCATAGCCATTTCCAGCCAGTTAACGAAAGAGGCCATTCGGGCCTTATTAAGTCACTAAAATTGCATCGGCAGTGCAGCAGGCCAGCCAGGTTTGTCAAGGTTTAACGCTTAATTTGGCCATTATTGAGCAGACAGACCTGACCTCTGTGTTCCATTAAATCAAATTAGTCGATAGTCAGCTTGGGTGCAACACTCCTGTCCTGTCTCCATCGATTCACAGCGAAATCAGTGCGCGACCTCAACTCAAATTAATTAAAGACATAAGCCGATTTTTATGAATTTTATATGCGACGCAAATTAATTCGATATATGTAAACAAATAAATGGGGAGAACTGAGAATGTGTTAAATGCAAATAATAAATTAACTATATAAATGTGCGTGGCCATTGCGCCCGTTGTAAGCGCTGTAAATTATTTTTTGAATGCACAGCAATTAAGTGAAGTCAGATGACCAAACATGAAACGGAAATCCCAACATGTTGTGCACGTCCCTTCGGCATCGAGTCCTGCGGACAGGACCAGGTGTGAGGTATTAAATCGAAAAAGAATGCATTACCGGGCATTATGTATTCAGCGGGGGAATTATATCTGATTTTCATACTCAATTCGTCTTAAGGGGATAAATCTGGGCATTGAAATCCATCCACCATTTGAATACAAATTTCAAAAAAACCATTAAGCTTATCTTCTCCAGAATCGGGTTGCTTTTGAAAATTATTAACACTTGTGTACTTTCCATTTTCATGACGTTACATTAAATAGTTTTTAATCCAATTCATTAACTTTGCCGGCAATCTTTTCATTACCTTTTTTCTGCACTCTGCACGGCAAGTATTTAATATGAATATTTAAATCAAATGAAATATTCAAATGCTGTTTTGTAAAAAGAAATTATGCAAATACAATTATTTATTATGGTCAATGTGCAATGTTGACAAACTTTAACAAAGCAATTACAGATAGCACTTAACCGAATCTATTCTAATTAACTTTATGATTCACTTTTCGTGGCAGGAAGGGTTGAAGGGCAGGTGGAAGACACGGCTAATCACTGGATCAAAATGAAATTCAGGAACGTTTCTTTCATACACTTAATCTAGGATTCCTACAAAGTAATTGTCTATTTACAGGCAATGTCTTACTTAATGGTAGGCATTCTTATAAGGGCTCAGGCACTGAGATCTTTGGACTTGCTGAATTCGCTGACTCTTCTTGGTGGGCTTTCTATCGCTTAAACTATATAAATTAAAATAGATCAACTCATATGAACTGCTGGAAGTCCAGCATGTCGAAGTTGTTATCGAACTCGGGTTGCAAATGGAAATTAGCCGCAGGACTGGGACTCTTGGGTCGCTGTGCGCCGGATGGCGGCTCGTACACATCCGCGAGATATTTCGTCACGTACTCGAACGACACAAACTCGCTCAATTGGCATTTGCTGTTGCTGTTGCCATTGCCATTGCCATTGCTGTTGCTGTTGCTGGAGTTGCAGTTGCCGGCGGTGGTGGCGGCAATGGAGCTAATCCCATTAGCAGCCGGAATCTGCTTGCAGACGCCATTTGGCGTCGTCAGCAATTGTTCGAGCTCGCTTAATTGATTAATATTTCCATGGCCGTCGTAGCCATTGTAATTGTTGTGGCTGCCGCTGCTGCAAACGCTCAGCGCATCCGTTTCCGGTACGGACGCCATGTTGTTGCTGCCGTCGTAGATGCCATATGCTCCTGCTGTTGCTGTCTCTGTCGCTGTCGCTGCGGTTGCCGTTGATGTTGTTGTTGTTGTTGTTGCCCCATTCCGATTGTGCTCAATGATGACAATGCAATTTGACAACTCATTAAAGTTCATTGAATTGTTATTAGCTGGCACACCAGTGGCGCAGCCATTGCGGTCTGTCTGCAGCAAAGCCTCACTACAGCTATTGCTGCGCTGCTGCCGCTGTTCCCCCATTGCACCGGCCACCCCTGGAGCTTGAGGTCCTGACTGCTGCACCTGTACCTGCACCTGCACCTGTGCCAGGGCCGATTCCGAGTGGCGACGGGTTTTGGCCGTCCTCCTTCCGCTGGCGCCTGCGGTGGCAACCGTGGCTCCTCCGGCTGACTTGCGTCGCAGCTGTCCGTTGGCGTTGCGCAGCGCGTGGTTCTTGACATGTTTGCGTAGGCTGGAGGGATCCGTGTAGCGCTTGGTGCAGCCGGGCAGCTGGCAGGCATACGGTTTCTGTTTCAATGGAGCGGAGAGAATGGGGAAAGCTATGCGTTAGTATTGACACAGCTTCGATGGAAACCGCAGCGGCTCAGTGCCGTCGCCTAAAACTATGCAATTGATTTCGCCCACGCCCCAAAGGCTCGTCCTAACTCACTCAAATACACACACACACACACACACACACACATATATACACATATGCACACCCACACAACAGCTGGAACAGAGGGCCAGAGTATTTGCCAAGTCAAATCGTTTTGAAATGTCATGCTGCATTTTGTTTATTCTGGCCAGCCAGCAGCCGCGAGCCGAAAGCGACAACAGCAAAAGCCATGCACTGCCACAAATATTTCACTTTTATTGCGAAATTATTTGGATACTACTATAGTTTTATTCCTTTTATTTATTTCCTTGCAATAACTTAATTAATTTGAAAGATCAAAGTGGAAAGCAATCATAGCTAAGCTCAAATATTCACATTCTTTGAAGGTTCTTTATATGACAATTTTGTTTGAAAATTAAAACTTTAAAATCTCATAACTAAACCAAAAACCAATTAATTTCACTTCAGAAATCGTTCCTATGTTAGTTTTTGTTAGGTTAATAAATCTACATACTCAATTAAAAAATTTAAAACTTTCAAATTTTTGCCCATTTAAACAAATTTTCACGATGTAACCCCTAATAAAAATTTGAATTTTTTTGGAAAATTTTGAAAAAATTCAATTATTGCGGACATATAAAGAAAGATTCTCCTTTTGATGCTGATCAAGAATTAATATGATTTATAGGGTCGGAAATTACTCCTCATATTTTGGAGCTTCTGACTAAAATTATAACACCTTGCGAAGGGAGTATAAAGACGTTCATACCTAAGTAAAGTTAACAATTTTTTTCGAGTGCATCAATGGCAGTGTGGATGGACCACCAAGCCAGCACACATTGCATCCTTTGTGATCCTGATTGGCTACCCTCTCCCGCCCTATTTCCCTGCCTCTGTCAACTGCCCTTTCCGCGAGGCCAGGAAAGTAACTCGTTTAGTTTATTCGATTTGCCTGCTGCTGGTTGTGCTGCTGTTGTGTTGCTGGTGTGTTGCTGCTGCTGCTGCTGTTGCCATTGCTGCTGGCTGAATTGCTGGCCTTTCCAGCTGCTTTGACCTTTTTTCCGTCTGTTGTACGCACTGACGCGGCTGCTGTTGCAGTTGCTGCTGCTGCTGTTTTAGCTGCTGCTACTGCTGTTACTTGTGCCATCGGGCCCCACCGCTCTCACAGATACAGCACACAGGCAAAACTATAAATCACTCAGGCAGCGAAATGCGAAATGTGCACATGTCATCCTGGCAGCCGTAGCAGCAGCAGCAACAGTGGCCGGAGCTGCAGGAGCACCAGAAATCCCTGGTCTTTCCGACCGACTGCAAGCTGGGCCCCTAAGCGCCTTGGCAGCCATTAAATCTTAAAGCCGCTCTCTCCAGGACTCAGCTGGGCATCCTTCGCTGCTGTCGCTGCAGCCGCGAGCTCTTCAATTTCCTTTTGACACGCATTGCAAATTGCTTGCCCCACGCACACACTCACACTCATACACACCTCGCACAACCCACACACACACACACACTCAAGCAAAGCCCAATATAAGGACAGGTACTCACCGTGTCGTAGTGCGTCCTTTGATGTTTCGCCCGATCCGAACTATTGCTGAACGCTTTGAGGCAGCCTTTATACTGACAGCCATAAGGCCGCTCTCCCGTGTGCGAGCGCTGATGAATTTTCAAATTTTCCAAACGCGAAAATGCTTTATTGCAGCCGGGAAACTGTAAGGGAAAAACAAAAAAGATGGGGTGTCATCGAAAATTGCAATTACCATGGGGTAGATGGGGGAGGGGGGCCTGCTGATGGGACTGAGAAATTGCGAAAGGAAGTGCTGGAAGGACGCATAAAATTGTGACCTCGCAACAGATGTTGCAGATGCTGCCATTGCCGCTGCCCGCAGGTGTCACACAGGACCTGTGCCCCCACTCGGACACCTGAAAGGGCAAATTACACTTTTGCGACAGAAGCGAAACAAGTGTAATGGCAGAGTCAGTGGGCCAAACTGATGACATGGCTCTGGCCGGAGGAGTGGGAGAGTCTTTGCCATTGGAAAAACAAGCAAGGATCCATCAATTACTCAAAAATCAAAATGAAAGAGCATGCGGGATGGCCGGCGTCGGATGTAGAAGATATAGTGTGTTGTGCCCTAATAACATTACCAGCAACTCTATTTCAAGTGGACTTTCCTCACTCTCATCTCGCAGCCCTCGTCCTGTCGATTTCTGTGATTGCCCTGCGCCGCACAATTCATCATCTGAGAGCGCTGCCGCATCAAATGTCAACACGTGCATGATACAAACAGAAAAAAGGGAAAACTAAAACACCAAATGGGCTCCAAAAGTCTTGTTTGGACGCAATATCCCTCCACATAAACAAATGTAGCAGCTGTTGGCCAAAGCAAGGCAAATCGAAATCTATTGTTTGATTTTGAAAAATGATATTCTATCAGGGAATTGAAAGGTTGGCCCACAGAGAGAGAAAAGTGAGCCGAAAACAAGTTGCTATGTGTTTAGGCAAGGCTTTAAGTACATTTTAATGGACAAAACCTGAGCAGCTTTACTCTCTTTAATTAAAGAGGTTCAATATTTGTAGTGTAAGCTACTTGACTTTTGGAAATTTATACCTGAATTCAAAACATGGGAATGGGATTGTATTGTTTCCTTACCGGACATTTATTGGGCTTCTCACCGCTGTGGACTCGCATGTGAATTAGCAGCTTGTAGCGGGCATTGAAGGGCTTGTAGCGCCTGGGACAGTCCAGCCAGAAGCAGGAAAAGTCCTCGCCCTTCCTCACATCCACGTGGCACTTCTCGATGTGCTCCACAAAGGCCTGCTGATGCGGGAACTCCTCGTCACATCCCGTCCAGCGGCAGATCAGCGGAACAGGCTCAGCCTCCGTTTCCGCCTCGGGATCGCAACAAACTGAATCCGGCTTGGGATCACTTTTCGCCGGAAGAGCAAACACCTCATTATCCAAATCATCGTCCTCTTCCGGATAGTTTTCCTCATCTTCGCTGTCCAAGTTGCGATAATCTTCCTCCTTGATTAAATCATCCGCCATGTAATTAGTCAGATCCTGGTTTATGTTCTTTTGGCATTGCAAATGCTGATGTTGCTGCTGCTGTTGTTGGTGCAGCTCATGTTGCTGGTGTTGTTGCTGCTGCTGTTGATGCTGTTGTTGCTGCTGTTGCTGCTGTTGCTGCTGTAGTTGATGTTGATGGAATTGCTGCTGTTCGCCCAACACCAGTTCATCCAGCTCATCAATGGTCCAAATTACCTTGTGCTCCCGATTGGGCTTTTCCACAGATTGCGCCAGATTATGCTGATAGTTCTCGGCTGCGTAGGCCGCTTCTTGGTACAGATTGGAGTAGTCCTCGTAGTTACTGGCACACATGGGAATGCATTTGGGGGTACCGAACGTGGAATTCATCGAAGGCAGCTTGGTGGGCGAGGGCTCCTGCTCCTCCTTGACGTACTCCTCAAACACGTTGCCCAACTTGGGCGAGGCACTCGACGTGGCCGCCGATATCTCGCCGAGATTGAAGTTCAGCCAGGCATCCAGCGGCGGTGATGAGCACGGAGATTGGTTTTTCGATTGGCAATTAATCTCGTCATAATTAAAGTAATCAATATCCAGATTGACGGAGTCGCTTGCCGTCGGCTGGCTGTTCTGGGCGCTGCAGGGTGTGTACGGAGTGTACGGGGTGTACGGTGTGTACGGAGTCTGTGGTTGCTGCAGCAGACTCGGCAGGTCGGATTCTCCCGTGAGCCGAGCTATATCCTCCGGCTCGAAGCGGAAGATATCCTCGCGGTTAAGCTGCGTGTACTGACCCTGCTGGTATGGCATGCTCGTGTTTCCCGCAGCGGCGCAGACTATGTCGTCCTGATCGTGATCCTGGTCCGAGTCCTGCTGCTGATCCTGACCCAAGTAAGCGTGACAGTCACTAAACACCGAGTTGGGTGTCTCGGCGTCGAAACAGAGATGCGAGAAATCCGGGAACTGAAGCTCTCCGGTGGTGAAGTTATTGTGTCCTCCGGATTCCACCTTGGCTGGGACACGAAAGATATCCCGATCTGCGTCGCCGGTTCCAATCTTTGCACTAAGCGGGGGCGACATGAAGCCACCGCCGTAGCAGCTGCTCGGGAGCTCCTTGCCCGAGATTCCGCCAAGATCCGGCGTCTTGACGTACATGCCGCCACCGCCGCCGCCCTGGCTGGCGAGGCTCTTCAGCGTGGATGACATGTTATGGGTCTCTGGTGATTTGCTGTCTGTTCTTCTTGGCCGGTCGCTTTCACTTTCGCATTTCCGGCAGTTGTCTAGCGATGGTTTTCTTAATTTTTTTTTTGTTCTTTGGGAAAGTTGCCAATTTATTTTTTTACGGCCACTGAACGCGGGAAATCCCAGGGAACACACACAGGGAACCGCAAAAATACACACACGTAACTCGAAGAGTTTTCTATATTATTCTAGTTGAAAACTCGGGCGACGTGATTCAGATCTCATTAGTGGCTGGCACTTGCGATGTTCACGCCACCGCGATCGAGCTGACAATAAGCCGGAGCACTGCCGCCGCACGATATTTAAATGTCCGGAACGGGATCGTCGGATATTCCACGGCAACGGGAGCAGAGTGGAGCGTTGGATCCTGCTGCCGATGCTGAGGGTGATGCTGAGGGTGATGCTGTCTCTGCTGCTGCGACACTCTGCCAGCGTCGCTGTAGCGATCGATGGTGTCTCTGCTGCTGTCGTTGGAGCTGACAGAGCTGACTACAAGAAATATTTAATAATTATGATATATACCTAGAAGTCATTGGAACTAGAATCACATTTACCAAGAACACAAAGAACCTCATTTTAAATAATTACTCTTTAACAAAAAGAATTACTTTTCTTTATCTTCCTTTTGGTTAATTCTTGTCTGAAATACATAAAAATCTTACTGTTTTCTTATAAGCATATAAAATAGAATAAAGGACCCTTATCTATTTATTTTAATTTATATTTTCATACATTTAAAATTAATATGAATGCCACATAAAAGTAGTTCATTTCCGATTCTAACTATTCAATTACTTCAATTTTTTTAGGCAAGCCCCTTTAATTTTCATGGATTTAATTCTTAGAGAATAAAAACAGGGGTTCCCAAATATAATTTCCTTAAAACAAAGCATAGATCACACTGTAAAAAGGACAAACTATCATCACTGATTGCTGATGTCGTGGCTGCTGCTCGATTTTCCTGCCTTTGGCACGCACATGTGCTGCCGCTTCTGCTGCTGCCTCAGTTGGTGTCGTTCCTCCTCAACCCCACCTCCGATTTCCCGATCGTCCCTCTATATTTTAGTTGTACTTTTCCTTTTCTTTTTTTTTTTTGTCTCAGTACTGCTGTTGTGGTTATTGTTGTTCTTGTTAATACTGTTATTTTAGGTTTATGTTTGTGTATAGAAATTATGCGTGAGCTGTGCCGCGAGTGCCATGTGGAAAATCCGACGATCCTAACAACGAAATCGAGTTGAAAAATTGTGTGAAATCGGAAAATGTTACCTAGGGATTTTGCATTGATTTAATAATATTTTGATACCCTTTGCGGTGTATTATAATTTCAGTCAGAAGTTTAGAACTTAGTAAAGGAATCGTTTCCGATCCTATACATCATATATATTCTTGATCAGCATCAGTAGGAGAATCTTTCTAGCTATCTTCGGCAACAAAACAAAATTTTCAAAAAATTTCAATTTTTTCAAAAAAAAAAAGGAAAGGGGTTACATCATTAAAATTGTAAAAAAATGGCAAAAAATTGAAATTTCTAAAACTTTAAATTGAGTATGCAGATTTGTTAACCTTATAAAAATTAACATCGGAACGCTTTCCGATTGGAAATTAAAGGATTTTTCGTTAAGTTTTGATGATTTTCATGATCGAAATTCAGGGGTAAACCTTAGTAGATAATAAAATATTTATAATTGTGTATATTTTTTTATATCTTGAACCGCAGCAATAAGAACATAAAAGTAATTAAATATCTTCTCCATATTTACTTGGATTTATTTATGGATGATTTCTAAACCATCATTTCTTGCATTTTCCACAGTGCACTTGACCGTGGCAGTGTCGCTGCTCGGTGCTCCTCCCAGATCCGATCTGATCTCGGATCCTCCATCCTCCTCCCAGTTACATTTCCCCCCTCACTTTTCCAGTGATCTTGTCGGTGCACACATGGTGTGCAAGTGTGCGATGCAATGCAATGATGCTGCTGTTGTTGCTGCCGCTAGGCCTGTCGAATGTTTTAGCACTATTTTTTATTGCCACATAATTTTCATTTTTTTTAGCCTTTTTTGTGTTGTGTTGTATTTCTTTTTTTTCAGTTTCCTTGCCAGGCGGGCGTAAGTACTGTACTCTAAACGAGAGTACTGAGAGCATGGGCTAAATTTATTAAGGCAACTCATTTACCATTTGCGACAAATAGGCAGGCGCACTTGCTCCAGCATCCAGAATGCATCTTGATGTGCACATATCGCTCTCTCTTGAGCTATTTTTAGGACTCTGTTCTGCGTCCGCTAATGCCTGACAATATGTTTTTAATTTACGCCACAGAAGTGCAATTGCGAAACTATTTGCTTCCCTCCTCCAAGCGAGCATTGTCCTAGGTCCTTGCCACTTGCCATAGTGACATTTCCGGAGCATGAGTCAGTGGCAGTTTTTCCATTTCCATCTCCATCTATAGAACATTTTCCCTTTGCAGCCACAGTCGGCACTTTATCATTAAATGATGCCATCTCTCCCCTATAATCGCCATATATTTTTTATGATTTTTGGCAAGCGTCGCACTTTGGCGCACGTTCGCCCGGATGGGATGGCATCGGTTCGGGATGGATGAGTCTGATGGGTGGCTTGCCTGGTCGAGGAGGAGGTACTGGTCTCGGCCCGGTCGCGTCACGTCAATTCAGAAACGTTTAACACACAATTTCTGCCACTTGCGCGCTTGTCATTTGCGAATCGGTCGCAGGGCTGGCCAAAAGATTGGGCTCGTGGCCAAAACTGTGTGGCCGCTGCCTTTGTTGTCGCCCCGATTGCGACAAGTTACATCATTGTTAAAATTAGTCGATTTTGGCCATACTTTTTGGCGTCAGTGCACTCGGAGAAAAAGTGGCAACTAAGCGATATAATAATATTCTAAATTCATTTGAATTTAATTGGGAAATATCTGAAAATTTTCTGTATTGGCAAAAGAGAAGAGAACTTTGATAATAATATATTTTACATTAATAATTACTAAGAATTTTGTATGGCATTATAAGACAATACATTGCTAGTTCCTAATAATGTTGAATATTGTTATATCTATAAAATAAAGGTATCTTAAAAACACATTGTTAATACAGATTCTTCTCAATTCTCAATTTACATGAGATGCTTCTATATTATTAAAAACTTTTTCTTAAAATGATCTCAAATTTTGTGAAGTGCAGAAAAAGTGATTCCTGGCCAAGACCTAAAGACCTGGTAGCAGCCTGATGCCAATTCGAGTTGATGTTTATGAGAGTGGCGATGACGCGCGGCGACGTTTCTTGGGAAAACACTCGGCCGTTTCCGCTGTCGAACGCTTTCCTCCCCCGGTGATTATTAATTTTCCCAAGATTTAAGGTAATTTCTCATGTGCGTGGGCAGCGCTGCTGTCGCCGAATTTTGATTTGTCTGGGACAAGTTTCAATTTCAATTAAATCCCCAAGTGATTCACTTTCCCCGGGACTCACTATCACCATTCCAACGATTGAGTTTGCTTATTTAAAGCGCATTCAATTAATTACTATACTAAAGGGAAAATTATCAGTGAAATCGTAATATTGTTTTTGTTTTCATTTCACAAACAACAACTGCAACAAATAAGCCGCAACATTAATGGACATACTCGAGAGCCGAATGTTTGGTCAACTTCATAAGTTCTGTGGCTCGAAGGGTGGGATTATGTGCGGCCGACCAAATGACTTTAATGAAAAATCGTAAATAAACCGGGCGGCATGGGGGAAATGCGTACTTAATAAAATTTATATGTTGCGGAATAATGAAAAGGACGGTGCGGTGTCGATTTGTTAATGAAATTTTTAACTTTATGCTTTCCGCTCTCCGCGTGTCAGGGGATATATGTAAACATCGGTATGGAGTGTGCGTCGCAGTCGGGTATGTTCATAAATTTGTCAATGATTTTCCACTTGACAATGCTGCAAATGGTCGCGTTTATTTACTCCACATTTTCCATCAAGTGAGTTGCTGATGGGTTGTGGAGCCAGGGATCTATCTCGCTGTTTTAACAAGCGGCAAAGAAATGGTTATTGCTTTTGTTTATTTCCATCATAGACATCGAATGTGATTAGGGACTGTCTTTAAATAAATAAATAAAACTGAGTTCGAAGGGGTTGATTATCTGTCAAAATAGGATTATTGGTAAGCTATATGCTTGTATTTGTTTTTCCATTCAAACTATTTAAAATTAATTTAGCATTATTTTGCGCCTGAAGGTATGAAGATTTTCAATTGACTGAAAGGAAAACAAAGGGACAGCCAAATAAAACATTTTCTTTACAAATGAATTTATGCCTTGTCCTCTGTTATGCCAACTTGGCAATAAGTCAAAAGATCTTTGCATTTGCCACTGAAAAGCAGCAAAAAAGAGGAAAATTTGAGAGGCTGAGGCCTCCGCTCACATTCATCGCAGTCAACAAGTAAATTTGTCAGACGGTAATTTGATTTTGTTTAGCCAAGAGAAATGGAAAACCTCGACCTTGTCGCTGTTTAATTTGTAATTTGAGCCACGCAGGCGCGACATTCAACTTGAACTAGCCTCCGGCACTCACGCTCCCTATATCCCTATATCCCTGCTCCCTGTCCCCATACAATTTTTCCCGATTTCCTGTCAAAATGTCAAATGATTGCGTTGACATGCATGTCGTATAGCGATAGTGCTGGTGCAGCAAAATATGCTAAAACATAATTTCAATTCGAACAAATCTTTTCGGCTCTCTGGAAAAAGTGTCACTCACTCTATTCGGTATTATAATGAGCCGTTCCCGTACCCGTTGCCGTTGACCCCTTGACATTTTACAGCTCGAAAGCCGAAGCCGAACACATGTGGCAAGTTCAAAAGTTGACGGCAAATTGACTGTATTTATAAACATTTTAAAGGCGTCGCACAATAAAAAAAAGAAAAAAGAAAATAAAGGCAAGGAAAACTGAAGCAGTTCACG